GCAACCTCTGCTTCCTGGGTTCAATCGATTCTCCTGCCTCAGCCTCCCGAGTAGCTGGAACTATAAGCATGCGCCATCACGCCTGGCTAATTTTTGTATTTTTAGTAGAGACAGGGTTTCACCATATTAACCAGGCTGGTCTTGAACTCCTGACCTGGTGATCTGCCTGCCAAAGTTCTGGGATTATGGGCGTGAGCCACTACGCCTGGCCTTTAATGGCATTTTTAAAAGGTGCCAACATGAAACTGAGAAAGCGTTTTGTAATGGTAATTTCTGCCTTTTTTTTTTTTTTTTTGCCTTGCATTGTTGCAGTTTACTTTTCAAGGGCAGATTCCCAGACTGCTAGAAGTGAGCTCCTCCCATGGTGCTCACTAGGTCCTTGGGGAGCACTGTACCGAACCTCGTATTCACTAGACTCATGGTGGTGAGGGAAGCTGAGGGTGTTGCATAAAGGAAGGCCCCTGACCCACACATGCAGCCCACGCTGGTCATTTACCAGCAGAGGAAGGTGGGAAGCTAAGCTGGAGAAGTCGTCCAGTGAGCTATGCAACTTGGAAGACAGAGGGAAAGGTCATGGAGGATTAGAGGCAACATAGAAACGGGAGACTAGGGAAATGTGGCTCTGGAACCCCGGGCGGCCAGTACCTGGAACTGCACCTGTCCCAGTTGGAGAGCTGGCTCTGGTTAGCAGCCATCAGCACGATGTCGTCGATCTCATCCTCAATGCGGAAAGGGTGTTTCGAGGTGGGCTCGTCCTCGGGACATGAGTATGGGCTCATGTAGGGGTGCTGCAGCCCCATCTCAGCTGTTAGGCGATCCATGGGGTTAAAGGTCAGGATCTTCTCCAGAAAGTCGATGGCTGCGGGGAGCAAAGCCAGACATGAAGGTCATTTGTTGCCTTTGTCAAGCTCAGAAGGAGACTCCTCAGCACGGTGACATTCTGTGCTGGTGTCTGTGCTTCTGCATTTGTTAAAAGGTTTTTAGCCATTTTCTTTCTCAAGACCCTTGTCACAATCCAGTGACAAAGGCAAAGCAGATTCTGCCTTTTAAACAGACTCAGCGGGTTAAGTGACTTCCTCAAGGTCCAGCCTCAGTCTGGGTTTCTCCAGAGATAGAACCAGAGACAAGGCTTGGGGTTGTAGCTAGTTTACGTGGTTGGGGGGGCGGGTCCCAGCAAGCACAGGTCGGGGAGTGAGAGGGAACCAGAACAAGGCACACTCATGACAGGTTATTCATGTGGGCACCTGGGATCCTCCAGAGACAGTGTGGGCCACACTCACAGGTGGTTCCACGTGCAGGGCGGGGAAGCTGGAATATTTATATACCCATTCCCCTTTGTCATGGCTTAATGCTGCTGGAGTGGGATGGAGGAGCCTGCTCCTGAGGAAGCCCTGAGGCAGGAGTGCCAGGTGCAACAGTAAAAAGCCTTAGTGAGAAAGGTGAATGTGGAGGTCTAGGGGTGGGACAGAGTCTCCACAGTCCAGAACTCCTGGGTCCAAATCCAGAGCTCTTCCTACTATATGCTGTCCCTGAAGTTCAACAGACAAAGGCAGGCAGCCTTGATGGATGGATAGATACTACAGATACTGAACAACCCCTGCTCTGCCAAGCAGTAGTCCTTTCATGGCTGGATCAAGGGGAAGTTCTGGGCAGTGGGAATCTGGGGACGGGAAGGGATGCTCAGAAGCCTTGTGCAGGAGGCTATTTGCCAGCCAGCACGACTGCATACCAAGGTTCCGCAGAGAGCAGCTCTGCACACGGGCACTAGTGGCCCTTCCCTTGAGCAGGGGTGGCTGCCCTGAGAGCTCTGCTCTGGGAGCGCTGCCCTGGGTTATCTCAGGGCAAGGTCTAGCTTAGCAGTTTGGATTCCTTCTCAGCACTGGCGTCTCTGACGTCTGCTTAAATCATGACTTGGCTCCTCATGTTACAGCCCAAGTGGAGCGGGAGAAATGGAGCTGAGCTCAAGGCCCAGGCTGTCCAGCCCTCCGAGGGGCTCCCTAGTGGGCCTCCGCCTGCACCGTTAACCTGCTCCTCACACCAGCCCTGGATCTCTTTGCAAAAAAATTCATCAATGATTCAGGAAATCCATGGATTCAGAAGGTCACTGGCCTCCCAGGAGGATGCAGTGCTGCAGTGTAACCCTAGACCCCCCAGATTAGTTCAGCAGTAACTGATCACCCCAATAGTCTGATGCTCAGAAGTTGTTTCTGGGTCTGCAGTTGCACACTTAAAAGAGGATCTGCCTCACAGATTCCTAGGACTGGAAGAATTGGGTACTTTACTGCCGGGCCCAGCTTCAAGTCTGGCCAGGTCTTTCTCTCTTTGGATCCCCAGCCACTTTTTTGGCCCCAGCCAAGACTTGACCTTTTGACAAGGAAATGAGAGAATTAGAGCTCTGAAGATTGAGGCAGGCAGTATCATCTTTAAAAAAAGATGAGTACCACCACTGGGGTAGTGCCTCACATCTGTAATCCCAGCACTTTGGGAGGCCAAGTCAGGAGGATTGCTTGAGCCTAGGAGTTCGAGATCAGCTTGGGCTTGTCTCTAGCAAGACTAGCAGTGGCCCAGGTGGGCCAGTAATGGGTTGTCTCTACAAAAAAAATTTAAAATTAGCCAGCCAAGGTGGTGCATGTCTGTGGTCCCAGCTACTCGGGAGGCTGAGGTGGGAGGATCGCTTGAGCCCTTGAGGCTGAGGTTGTAGTGAGCCATGCTTACACCACTGCACTCTAGCCTGGGTGAAAACTGAGATCCTGTCTTAGAAGAAAAAAGTCGAGTACCAACCCAGAGCTGCCCCACAGACTCCATCAAGGATGAAAACCTGCTCTTGCCTCTCCCTGACAGCTGGTCCTCCTGCAGGTCCCAGAAACTTCTGAGAAGCCCAAACACTAGGAAATTCTTCATTTGTTTTTGAGACAGGGTCTCATTCCTGCCGCCCAGGCTGGAGGGCAGAGGCACGAATACAGCTCACTGCAGCCTCAACTTCCCAGGTTCAGGTGATCCTCCTACCTTAGCCTCCCTAGTAGCTGAGACCACAAGCATGTGCCACCATACCCAACTAATTTTTTTTCATATTTTTTGAGGAGACAGGGGCTCCCTATGTTGCCCCAGCTGGCCTGAAACTCCTGGGCTCAAGAGATCCACCCACCTCTACCTCCCCAGAGTGCTATGATTACAGGTGTTAGCCATCACACATAGCCTAGAAAATTCTTCCTTTTATCAAACTTAAATCTTCCCCCTTTAACTTCTACCCTGGGGCCTACCTCTGCCTTCAGTGGTTCCCCCAAATCAGCATGTCCTCTCTGTCCCATGATTTCCCCTCTCATGTTTCAAGGCAGCAGTCATGTCCCATGTGACACCCTTATCCTGGCACCCTGCTGGCCTGCCTTTCCCAGCCTCTCCTGCAGTGAGAGATGGCTATGTGCCTAGGGCTGATGGAATACGGGTGGAAGTACTGTATGTACCCCACTTCCAGGCCTGACCCAGAAAAACCTCCTGCAAGAGTCTCTGCTCTCTCCTCCCCTGGCTTTGGCTGGAAGTGAATGGCCAAGGTGACCTTGACAGCCACCTGCTGAAGATGGCAGAGCTGATGGCCTGGGTCCTGGGCATAGCCACTCATCTTCCCCTGCCCATCCATGCTCCCAACTCTGCCTGGATGTGAGATAAACAATGAATAGCTGGGTGCGGTGGCTCACACCTGTAATCCTAGCACTTTGGGAGACTAAGGTGGGTGGATCACAAGGTCAAGAGATCGAGACCATCCTGGCCAACATGGTGAAACCCCATCTCTACTAAAAAATTAGCTGGCCATGGTGGCATATGCCTGTAGTCCCAGCTACTTGGGAGGCTGAGGCAGGAGAATTGCTTGAACCTGGGAGGTGGAGGTTGCAATGAGACGAGATAGTGCCACTACACTCCAGCCTGGTGACAGAGCGAGACTCTGTCTCAAAAAAAACCAAAAACAAACAATGAATAAACTGTAAGTGGGTTAAGCCATGGAGATTTCAGGGTTATCTGCTACCATACAAGCTTCACCTGAACTCATCAGCCACCGCCCCTCAGAAACTCCTCCTCCCTAGGCTCAACTTCCCCAGATGTTTTTAAGGCATTTCTTAGATAATGAGGCTTCTGTACAATCTTGTCAGCTTCCTCTGGCCCAGTGGATTCCAGACTGAGCTGCTCAGAGCCCCAGGGGTTCTGGAAGGGTTCTCAGTAGCATGTCTGGGGACTGAGAGGCAGGTGAACAGGACACTGAGCCCCTCAACCCTGCTTCATCTGGAGCCCATCTTTCACCTGTGCTGCACCTGAGTTTATGTCACCAGATTCATCACTTCTGGTCCATTTCTGTCCTGTAATAAATGGAGCGCAGAACTCAGTGCTCCAGTGTGGTCTTGGGGCCTGCCACCCTTGTTCTGCACCTGTCATGAGATGGACATTTCAGCAGCTGGGGGATGCTGTCACCTAGACTGAGTCTCCGGCCTCTTCTCAGTCCTGCTGGGCCTTGAGTATACAGCAGAGGGAGTGAGACCAAGGAGTTTAGGACCTTGCCGGAGGCCACACGGCTCATCATTGATGGAATGGGGCCTGGGTGTTGCCCTCAGGCTGAGGAAGCTCCTGTTTTTTGCACACACCATGCCTTCCAGGACAAAAATAAAAGGGAGGATGAAGGAGAGAGAGGGAGGAAGGTGAGCGAGGAAGATGAGAAGGAAGAAGAAGGAGAAACAAGGGGAGAACACTAATGGCTGCCCCAACGGTTGCCTAGTGGACTCCAGAGGCCCAGCACCCACAGATCGGAAGTAGTTAGGGCAAATGCCTGCTGGCAGGGGAGCCTTGATTTTGATATCCATGGTTCATGCTTTGCCCTTTGGGAGGGATACCTGCCTGCCCTCTATCCTGCAAGGTGGAGCCTACCAGCTCATCCTCCCAGGACACTTGGCCTGGCTGCCAGGTTCAGGTACCTTCACTGTTCACTTCGGGGAGCAGCTTGCGCAGAGGCCTCTTCACTTCCCAGGTGCTGCTGACGAAGGAGGGCATCACCCTGAGCAGGTCTTCCTTGTCTTCCTCCCGGATCACAGGGATGGTCTCCAGGATGAGTTGCATCTGCTCCAGCTCATGGGCCCCTGGGGAGGCAATGCCAGATGGTAAGTGTGCTGCCCAAGAGGCTGTGGTGTGCAGTAGCCTGAAAGCGGTGCCAGGTTTTCTGGAAGGAACCACACAGGGCAGTGGGGCAGAACCGGGCTGGGGCTGGGGTTCTAGTCTTCACTTGCTGCACAACTCTGGGCAGGTGGCTGCCATCTATGGGGCTTGGGTTTGTGAAAAGTAGAAAGAAGGGGTTGAATCTGGTATTTTGCAAGGCCCCATCTATGCCCCTAGCATTCTGTGTCTTAGACCACTTGGATATTAAGTCAGCGCTAAAGAATGGGAACAGCCTGGCCCAAGGCCTTCCAAATGCAACTTCCCATAGACCTCTCCACATAATCTTAAGGCTAGGAATGAGCCATACCTTTTGGTGTCCAATTAAGAGGATTCCATGTAGGAAACTCTCAAGAGAAAAAACATCAGGTTTGGAATGTGTCTTGAGCACACGGGCTCTGTGCTCCTTGGGGAAAGACAGGCTACGCCAGGTTTGCAGGCGAACTTTGGTGGGACAGGATGGACTAAAGCATTCATTTATTCACTCCCTCATTCATTCCATAAATAGTTATTTATTGAGCACTGTCTCCATGCCAGGCCTCATGCTGGATGCTGGGAATGGATTAGGCATAGTTCTCATTCATAAGAAGCTTCAGTCTTTGTCTCAGAAACTCAACTCATCTCCCACACCCAGGCAACCACTGGCTACTATATGGCATTTCTGGCATGGACAGATGGGTCTCCTTGTTGTCCTTCTCCAACCTCCAGGCTGTTCTTCTGTTACTTCCATTTTCCCTTTTTTGATTGAATTGCCTTTCCACTTAGCTCTACTAGGTTAAAACCTCAGCCATACCTCTCCCTCCTCCGGAAGTCTCCCCTGCCCATCCAGCTGCACAGAGGGCCCTCCCCTTGCCATGAATTCCCGTGAGATTCCAGTCTTCCAGACATTGGTGGCCTAGGATGAGGGCTTTCCCACGTCCCTCTGCGATTCCCCATGTGGCTTTAACACATGCGAATACCGACAGAGGAAGTGCCTGCAACCTCAGGGTCTCTCCTGAAGAGGTCCTTTTGGCCTCTCCCCGCAGTGGACTCACTGGGTCAGCTCAGGGCTCTGGAAATCCCTTGTGGGGTCCTCACTCCAAATGTGTACTTTACACCACTCACCCAGGGACCATGAGGTCAATGGGTGACCAAGTGGCAGCAGAGATGGTGGGACTTTGCTCCCAAGCCCTTGACCCCTCTCCTGTGTGACACACAAACCAGTAATACACAGCCTTGTGCTTGGAGTAGCTTCTTCAGCCACAGGGCACAGTGGCAGAAGATAAGCCTCCCTCACTTGTCTGCTCCTGCCCCAGATCAAAGGTGTTATATGGGAGGCAGTCAGTGGGGCCTCCCTGGCAATCCATGGCCTGGGGCAGAAAGCAGGAGCTTTGGTGGCAGACAGCCCTAGAGGCAGACTTAGCTCCCCCATGTTCTCCCTAGCCACCCCTTGTGGAATGAGAATGATTATTTATACTTGGAATGAGTATTATAAGGAGTCGAGTGTGTTGGCAAATGAAGGCTCTTGGGAAAACACCTGTGTAGTAGATGTTTAATAATTATTGACTTCCTTTGCTTCTAGGAGCTTGGGAAGAGCAACTTTGAGAGAAGCTGATGAAGTAAATCCACGCTGGGGATTTATGTCCTAATCATCCCTGAGTGATTCTTTGTGATAGATGTCACTTGGGGGAGGCATTTTAACACTGAGTCTAATAAGCCACCACTGAAAATGGGAGAAGGTATGAAGGATGGTCAATGTTCCTTTCTTACTTAAAGAATGTCCTTTCCATGTCACACTGTTGCCTTCCCTGCCTCTCTTGCAACAAGGGGAGGCCATGTGACTCAAACAGGGACAGAAATCTCCTGGAAGGACTCTCAGGGAAGATGATCCTCCCTGGAAAGGCAGAAATGCAAGGAGAGCTGTCTGGCTGCCCCAGCTGACCCCTCCCTACCTTTCTTCATTGGACAATTCCGTGTGCAAACCTGAAAGCTACTGCAACCATCTCGTGACCACAGACAGTGGGCCTGACGATGAGAAGTCAGTGGACTGCGGATTAAACAGTCTTGTCTGGGCTCTCTGTGAGTCACCTGCCTGCTGTGGCACGGAGAAGCCCAGCTCTCCTCCAGCCGGCCTGAAGGTTGTCAGCTTGATGGCAGGGCAAGCGGAGCAGAGCCCTGTGAGCTGAGGGTTCAAGGCCAGGAAAACAGGGGCAGCCAGGTACCCAGATCATGGTGGCAGGGCCAGAGATGTTGAGCCATCTAGGGTTTAGTGACTATGGCTAGAGCAGAAAGAGTCTTTGAGTCAGAATCCAGGGTGAGACATCTCTCCCACCTGTTCCTTTCTCCCCTGCCGTGAATTGGATGGAAAATATGGAACAGGGAGGTCTTTGCAATTTCACTTGGAAAAATAAGATAGCAGGATGGCTGGCCCTGGGCACAGATAGGTTCACTGTGTATTGTTTTGTTTGTTTTTAACCCTGTGTGTCCCCCACTGGACCATCAGACCTTAGGGAACAGAGACTATGTCTTACTCAGTCTTGCATCCCCAGCACGTGGTCAAGGATATACCCAAAGCACAAAATCCACCAGAGGGAAAGCTGTTAGGGGCTCCTGAGAGTCCAGGGGGCACATGAAGACGTTTGTACTCAGGGCCTAAATGCTTGGACACACGCCCTGACTTCTGCTTCATCTGACTTTCCTGCCATTGTTTTTATTTTACTTTTTTTTTGTTGACTCTGTCTCAAAATAAAGACTTTCTTAGCTCTTCAGACATGGCTTTGTCTTAAAGCCCTGCCAGCGTTCCCTTAGAAAGGCCACGCTCAGCCATTTCTTCATCTCTGAGCTCATTTCCCAACCCTGCATTACTTGAAACCAAGTAACTTGTTAAATAAGAGGTGGGATGTCCTGGGCTCCTTCTCAGGCTGGCATCTAGAACTCTGTCTCAGGATCCTAAGTTCCCTGGAGAGGGCTTTGTCTGACTTTCCCCTGCTTCCTCACGGTCCCCTTGCCCCACAGCAATGCCTCTCCCCATCCTTAGCACTATGTTCTGTGCACACAGCAGATGAGCAGCTGTCAGAGTGAGTGACTCTGACAGGTGAGTGAGCAGCTCTCTTTAACGTGTGGGCTTATGCGGTCTGCACTGCCCCTGAGCTAATTACTACACCAGATGCCCATATGTGGTCACTCTCCAGTGAGTAAGAACAGGCCAGCAACTGAGAATTGTCAGCTCCTCGTGGGGCTGCAGGGGATCTCAAATAGCCCGGCCACTTGCAGGCTCAGGTTGGTAGACAGGAAGTCGGGATTTCATGGTGGAGAGGGCCCACTAAGGACATGCTTTTGCTCTCAGGGGGTACCAGAAGGGCCACTGCTGTTTTATTTTTTGTGGGGCTCAGGGACTTTGGTGGGGGGAATCTCACTAGGTCTTGGGGTTCTGAAATGGGGCTGGAGTAACGCTGTCCTATCCCCTGCCTCTCCCCTTCCTTCTCAACACCAGCAGGGCAGGGTAGCCCCAGGAGCCCAGGCCTGCCAATGCAGGCCTGTGAGCTGATGGCCAGAGAGAAAACACATTCCCCTGGGCCACACTGCAGTCATCAATCAAGCAAGGGGATGGGGTGGGGTCTTCTCAGGCCTTCCAGCTTTCACGTCCTTTTCCCTTCCCTGACACTCAGCTTCCCAGCGCCTGCCACTCTGATGCTGGCTTCATCTATCTCCTCCCCTGAGCAGCTCTGGGTGATGACATGAAGTCGGATATGGGGAGGACAGGCTGACAACAAGGGCAGCGAGTGTCCCAGGAACTGAGGAGGTGGGGCTCTGCGGCCAGGACAGGAGATGAGCGAGCCACATTAGCCTCACAGCCGGAATGACATGGGACCAACTGTGGGGAGGGAGGCTGCATCGCAGGTGCCGACAGCCTCAGCGTGGGGATGATGGGAGATGAGATGAGGTGCTGGCATGGGAGGACAAGGTAGAGTAGAGGAGCGGCCATCAGGGGGGCCACAGAGGGGGGCCGCTTTGTTAACAGCAGGGAAGCAATGGTGAGCAAGGATGCAGAGGCTCTATCCCACTCTGTGTAGGGCATAGGAGAGAGGATAGCCTTCATTCCAAGAGTTGAGGGGAGATGGTGTCCCACGAGGAGAAGCAGGGAGGCTGAGGCCGAGACAGTATGGTTGTGGGGAGGCGCAGGGCTGTGAGCATGGAGGAGAGCGGTCAGGCAGGATGACCAGGTATGAGAAGGCCCGGAGGTCTGTAGGGGTTTGGAATCCAGGCAGAGGACAGGTGGCAAGCGTGCAGGCCCTCAGGGCTCTGTCTGCCACATTGTGGCCATAGCCTGTGGAGACTGGCCTCACTGTGGTCCTCGACCAGGGGTGGTCTGGAATATTTCTGGGCTTCCAGCCTCTGCAAAGTTAGCCTGGGTGGAGGGGGTGGATGAAAATTCTTTGCGTAAGTGACAGCAGCACTTAGGGCTGAGGGTGGAAACTTGGGAAGGGCTGAAGGACACAGTGTGGAGGAAGAAGAGCCCATGTCGGGTGAGAAGCAACTGAGGGGGACTTGCCAGAGAGGGAGGAGGAGGCCACCAGCTCGGGGGGCAGAGGGTTTCAAGAAGGAGGGGACAATCATCGCTGACTACTGCTACAGGATGAGGCTGAAATGGATTCCCCTGGATTAAGAACATGGCAGTTTGGGTGGGAACAGCATCAGACAGATGAAGGGGCAGTGAGCCACACTGCAGAGTGAGGAGAGAATGGAAGGGAGGGAGTGAAGAGAGCAAGTGATCTTCCAAGCAAAGAGGGAGAGAGCGACAATGAGTATGAAGTGCAAAGGGAGTGCCAAACGGGATTACTCATGCCCTGGGGAGTTAGGAGAGACATCATGGAGGACAAGACATAAGCGGGTTTTGAAGGTTCAGCAGGAGTTTTCTAAGCAGAGAAGAGGGTGTTTGTGCCAAGGTGAATACAACATGATGATGGATTAGGAAAACAGTGGGTCACCTGGTGTGGCTGAAGGATGGAGCAGTGGCAGGGAGTGGGGAGGAAGGGGCTAAAAATGTAGGGTGGGTGTTTTCAGCCATCAGGCTCAAGATGTTTGAGAAGTATGTCTTAGTCTGTTCACGCTGCCATAACAAAATACCACAGTCTAGCAAAATACCACAGCCTCAGTGGCATACAAACATTATTTCCCACAGTTCTAGAGGCTGGAAAATCCAAGATTAAGGGGCTGGCAGATTCATGTCTGGTAAGGGGCCCATTCCTCCATAGGCGGTGCTGTCTCAGTGTCTCCTCACACAGTGGAGGGGCAAACGAGCTCCCTCTGGCCTTTTTACAAGGGCACTAATCCCATTTATGAGGGCTCCATCCTCATGACATAATCACCTTCTAAAGGCTTCACCTCCTAATAGCCTCACCCTGGGGGTTAGGATTTCAACCTGTGAATGTTAGAGGAACACAAGCATTTAGGCTGTAGCAAAGTAGTTACTTGATTGCAAAAACTTCTGTGCTCAAAAGCCTATTATTTTTTTAGCCTCTCCAGTATTTTTGCCTGACAATATAACAAGGTGCCTCCCTATAGTGCCATAAAAGGCACAGAAGTAATTTCAGCAAAAGATGAGCATGTTTTGTGACTGCATGTCTTTTGTACTCAGTTCTCCTTTCTATGGATCAACGCCAGATGAGAAGGAAGGTGGCACAGTTAGTAACTCACCAGCAAAGAGCATTCTCCCTGTAAGCATCTCGGCCAGGATGCAGCCGGCGGCCCACATGTCAATGGCTTTGGTGTAGTTATTGGGGGAGAGAAGCAGTCGTGGGGAGCGGTACCACTTCGTTACCAACCCTTCTGACAGATAACCCTGAAAGACAAAATTTCAGGCCCCACTGAGCAGTCATTCCTGATACCCTCCACCCATGCCTCTTCCAGTTTCCCCTCCCATGAAGCAGGCCTCTTTCAGAAGGCCTTTCATTCTTGCCCCTTTCCTGTTGATCTTGAAGGAGCATGAGTAAACACAGGTCTGGTTAGAGGGCTGGACCTGGTTTGTGGGGTTCAAATCCTTTGATGAGAGAATTTTTTTTTTTTTTGAGACGGAGTTTTACTCTTGTTGCCCAGACTGGAGAACAGTGGCACAATCTCGGACTCACTGCAACCTCTGCCTCCCAGGTTCGAGCGATTCTCCTGCCTCAGCCTACTGAGTAGCTGGGATTATAGGCATATGTCACCATGCCTGGTTAGTTTTGTATTTTTAGTAGAGACAGGGTTCCTCCATGTTGGTCAGGCTGGTCTCAAACTCCTGACCTCAGATGATCTGCCCACCTCGGCCTCCCAAAATGCTGGAATTACAGGCGTGAGCCACTGCACCTGGCTGAGAATCTTATGAGATCCAAGGGTTCTCCTTTGTAGAAAGGAATCCAGGTTATCAACATTTTAGAAGAAATGATTTCCCACCCCCGCTTAACTCTGCATAACAAGTCTGTCCTCCTCTAGTAAGAAGATGGATAAACAGGAGCCCTGCTCAAGTTCATTACTGCCAGCAACAGAGTAACCATGAGACACTGGCGTTCCCTTTATCCAGAGGCTTACTCTCAGAAGTAGCCACACGCTTGAATTCACGCTGGTTGCTTTGACACTGAAGATTAGAGTTAATGCTGCCACAAAGCCAGGCACCAGGCTCCTGCTGAGAACAGATAAGGCCATCTTCATAACAGATGCAGGGAAACGCTATGCGGAAGTAGTTCTGAACAACAAGGTGGACACAGCTTTTGTTGGCCCATGAGATTCTGGGAGTTTTCCCTGGTGTCGTTTTGGAGGAATAAATGTTCTAGCTGATTTTGCCCATGGCTCAGTGATTTGTGGTCTGAATGGACTCCCTCCTTATACAGTGAGGACATATACCCATATATGATTTAGGAAAATATACCCAGGGAATTTAGAAACTGTTTTCTACATAATTCAGAAAGCTGGGCCAAGAGTGACATATGGAAAATGTCCATTTGGATTCCCTAGGACAGTCTTTCTAAAGTAAGAAGAGCCAGTATAGACCCTCTGGGGGATAAGACGAGACAGTTAGGACTGAGGGGATCCAATGGGAGATTCCAGGGATGGTCTCGCTGCAGTTCCCAGTTTCGCATCTGCACTTCCCTTTCTATGGATGTGGAAGTATCACAGGCTCAGGTTAAAGCAGATGAAAAGCTAAGAAGCTCAGGACCCATGAGCTTCTGACTTAATTGATCTGAAATCCCTTCATTTGTTCAACAAAGATTTCTTAAATGTGTAAAACCTTTGCAAAGCCCTGAATTAGGACAGCAGTTTTCTCCCCTCTGTGGCACATATTTCCTCTGAGTAGAGCCTCAAACTGGTAGAAGGAAGGAGGAAAACTGAAAGACACCCTTCAGCTGGAAATCACTAGAGCATCCCATGCCCTGGTCTTGATACTCTCACCCAAATGAAATCCTTAGAATTTGGAGAATGTGCCCTCTTCCTCTGTCCTTTGTGCATTTGCCTCTGTACATTCCATGAAGGATGTCATCATACTCACTGTGCTACCAGCTGACACACTCAGGTCAACTTCCTCTCAGAAGCTTCCTTGTTTTGTTGCTGTTTCTTTACTTCTCTGCATCTCCACCCCTCCAAGGACCACTAGATTATGCGCCTCTCGTGGGCAGCAGCTGTATCTTGTTCTGCAGCTACAGTGCATTCCCCAGCCCATGCCTCCTAAGAAGTGTTCAATAAACACTGCTGAACTGCTGAATGAATGAATGAAAAAGGAACATCTCATATGCTCTGAACCACCTCCAAAATTTAGGCAACTTCTGCAGGGAAAAAGAGTGGAACCCGGACCTCCCTGTAGTCAAGGGTATAAAAGAAGAGGACCAGTGGATGAGATCGAGGGTTCTCCTTTGTAGAAAGGAATTAAGGACCAAGATCAGTGGATCCTCCTCTATACACTTGACTATAAGGAGGTCCATGTTCCACTTTGCAAGGTGGGTGAGGAATTTATATAAGTTGAGAGCCACTTATGCCTTGTCTTGTTCCAAAAAGGGATTGGCCAATGTAATTTTTATAGGAGTTTAACTGCTTTAAAAGTCAAGTTTATTGAGATATAATTTACACAGGGTAAAATTCACTAGTTCTATGAGTTTTGACAAACACATAGAGTCATGTCACCACAATCACAATCAAGATACGTAATAATTCCATTATCTCAAACAATTCCCTCCTGCCCTCTTCTGGTCACCCCTAGTCTCAGCCCCTAGCAACTGCTCCTTTCTGTCTCTCTAGTTTTACTTCTATGTAAATGGAAAGACAGTATGTAGCTTTTGAGTCCGAATTCCTTCGCTTACCACAATGCACCTGAGACTCATCTACCGTGTATACTGTGTCTACAGTAGAGTGTTAGGAATTTAACTTTGATTCTAAAAGTTACAGAAACAAACCAAATACTGTCTGTGGAAGTTCATGTCTGGGTGGGTGGGTTCTAAAAGAATAGTCTGGTTTTATTTTCAGTCAGAGGGTGAGATTGTCAGGGAAAGACTAAAGGAAGAGTACTCAGTGGGAGGTAGCTTCAGGGGAGTCTTCTCTGATATGTAAATGCACAGTCTTTTATGAAACGGAATGGTCTGAAATTGACATCTGCCTTTCAGAGTCTAGGGCTAAAGAAAAGTGGGCACAGGGGGCTTTTTTCTGAAACACTTGCCCTGAAAGTGAAAGAAAGATGTTGACATGGGTAAGGCTGCTCGTGGGCCAGGATTACGGACCAAGTCATAACAGGAGCTAAGCAAGTCCCTCTCCAGCAATTCCTTATTTTTCTGTTTTCTTTTTTTTTGGAGTCTTGCTCTGTTGCCAGGCTGGAGTGCAGTGGTGCAATCTCAGCTCACTGCAACATCCACCTCCTGGGTTCAAGCGAATTCTTCCACCTCAGCCTCCCGAGTAACTGGGACCACAGGCACGTGCCACTACGCCCAGCTAATTTTTTTGTATTTTTAGTAGAGGTGAGGTTTCATCATGTTGATCAGGATGGTCTCAATCTCTTGACCTGGTGATCCGCCCACCTCGGCCTCCCAAAGTGCTGGGATTACAGGAGTGAGCCACCGTGCCGGGCCCTTTCTTATTTTTCAATGAAAAACAAGAACCTGCTAAATTTTTAACTGGTAGTTATAAATAAATCCCCACTTCCTTCCCAGTTTGGTGTTCAAGAGGTTTGTTTTGCGGCCTTTCCTGCTTCACTTTGAGACAGGTTCTTGCATTCTGTCACCCAGGCTGGCATGCAGTGGCGCAATAGTGGCTCACTACAACCTCTGCCTCCCAGGTTCAAGGGATCCTCCCACCTCAGCCTCCAAGAAGTTGGGACCCCAGGTGCGCACCACCACATCCGGCTAATTTTTGTATGTTTTGTAGAGATGGGGTTTCGTCATGTTGCCCAAGCTAGTCTCAAACTCCTGAGCTCACGTGGTCTGCCTGCCTTGGTCTTTTGAAGTGCTAAGATTACAGGCATGAACCACTGTGCTCGACCCTTAAAGGGGATTTGTTGATATGTTTCAGAAGTCACAGGGCTGAGAAGAATTTGGAAAGGTGCAGCATCTTATGTCAAGCTGGTACAAGAGAAGCCCCAGGAAGGGGAGCTGGGAATATATTGGAAGCTCCATTCCCAGATATGGGGGCAGACACAGTGGACCAGGGTCCGGCTGTCAGCTGAGCTGAGCCCTGCATGTCTGAATGGGAAAGGCTCTGGGGCCCACAAAATGGTACTGATGATCTGAATTTAAGAGAGGACTTTCAATCAAGGGATTGGGGCAAAATTCAGAATTTTCTACAAAAAATAAAAAAATCTTGCTTTTCTGTGTCAATAGCACTCACGCAAACATGGTGAATGTTTCTAAAACCTTCTGGACTTTCTGTAAGAAGTGTGGCAAGCACCAACCCCACAAAGAGGCACCGTACAAGAAGGGCAAGGATTCTCTGTACGCCCAGGGAAAGCCGCGTTACGACAGGAAGCAGCGTGTATGGTCGGCAAACTAAGCCGATTTTCCGGAAAAGGCTAAAACTACAAAGAAGATCGTGCTAAGGCTTGAGTACGCTGAGCCCAGTGGCAGATCTAAGAGGACGCTGGCTGTTAAAAGATGCAAGCATTTTGAACTGGGAGGAGATAAGAAGAGAAAAGGCCAAGTGATCCAGTTCTAAGTGTCTTCTTTTATGAAGACAATAAAATCTTGAGTTCATGTTAAAAAAAAAAATCTTTAAAGAATATCCAGAAGTGGAGACCCAATTTTATTAAAAGAGCTCATAAATCAGTAGGTATATTGGCTCAAAAAAAAAAAAATCCTCAAGTAGACTTCTGCCCAAGCCTGTGGGGAGAGGATAGTTTCAGCTCCATTTGGATGTAGAGAGAGATGCATTCTTCTGTGATCAGACCTGGTCTTCCCTGCTGGGGTAGGCCCACGCACAGGGTGACCAAGGAGGGAGTGGGCTGAACGGCAGGCACACTCGGTGCACAGGTGGGCGCGTCTGCATTCGGCTGTTGCCGGCCAGCTGGGGCCGGCCTCCGGCGTGAGGCTTTTCTGACATCACTGCTCTGAAGTGCACACTCCCACAAGTCTCTGTGACCACCACTTGGAGACAAAAAACAAGACTGGAGTGGCCCCTTCCTCATCGTCTCTTTCCTCCTGCCACCTGTTCCCACCAGGAGGCAGATGAACATGGTTTCCTTTCTAGACCCTTTTAAGGGGCATTGGGGCCTTCACCAGCTATTATTCCCACCCACCCATTTTGCTGTCCCTTTAGAGTCATGGACAGCCCATGGGAGGCTCTGGCTTTGAAAGCTTCAAAGGTGTTAGGGAAATAATCTAGCAGCAGCTGCCCTATGAAGAGGGTAATTAGGGGCCCCTGACGGATCTAGAGAAAAGGTATAATTAAAGCTCTGAGCATTCTCTTTGCAGAGGGGGCAGGGAAGCTGCCCTTGGTCCCAGCTGCCTGCTGGGGAATTCAGAACAGCCTAATCAAAGTCACTCCCAGAGGGTGGGCACTCTGAGCTGCTCTGGTGAGCCCACGCTGGGTGGGCACCAGTTCTGATCTCCTGTGCCTGCCCTTGCTGTGCTCTCACTGCCTGGTCTCTTGCATCTGGGAGTTGGAAGGTTGGGGAAGAAGGCTTAATCTAAGAAACCTACTACACCCTTTAATAATAATGTGCCCACTAATCCCTCATGGGCATAATGAATTTATTTATTTGTGACAGGGTCTTGCTCTGTTGCCCAGGCTGGAGTACAATGGTGCCATCTCTGCTCTCTGCAGCCTCCGCCTCCTGGGTTCAAGTCATCTTCCCACCTCAGCCTCCCAAGTAGCTGGGACTACAGGCTTATGCAACCATATCTAGCTAATTTTTGTATTTTTTGTAGAGATGAGGTTTTGCCATGTTGCCCAGGCTGGTTTCAAACTCCTGAGCTCAAGTGATCCTCCCACCTCAGTTTTCCAACATGCTGGGATTATAGTCGTGAGCCACTGTGCCTGGCCTGGTTTGGTGAATTTAGATGAGACAACATTCTCCAAGAATAAAACCCCAGTCAACTTTAGCTCTGGGGTGGGGGTGAAGACAGGGTGAGAAGGATTGCTTTTCCTTTCATGCTGAATCAATGTTTAGGGCTGCCCCTGTTTCCAGGCTAGGATGATGAGAGTCTGATAGCATTTCACGTGGTTAGAGAGATGAAATGTTAATATGGAAAAAAATGCAAGGATCAGGAAGTACTCATGGCCAACATTTCTGTAGGACTTACCCTGTGCCCAGCATGGTGTTAGTATTTTACATGAATTTGATGCAGGCCCTACACAGAGTAGTGAAATGATGGCACCAAGGTGCTGTAACTGAGAAGTGGTCAGGAGTGTCTGACTTCAGCACCCATCACTTACCTACTGCATGGCCTTCGCCCATCCCTAATGACATGCTTGTGAATTCACAAGTACTTCGAGAGAAGTGCCAGTGAATGTGCAGACCCAGACCACTCGGAGTCGTGGACTTAGAGTTGCAATCCCCATCTTGAATGAGCTCCCCAGGGGAGGCGAATGCCCCCTCCTAGTGTGGAAGGAGTTTCAGTGTAGGTTGCATGAGGGCCTCTGCTTTTCTAATTAGCCCTGGGCAGGCCTGCACTGTGTAGCGGGCCCCTTCCAAGTCTTACTAGTGGGTGGGCACTCATGGAGCAAGGTGGCTGCAGGCTCTGTGCTCCCCCTCTACCCTAGCACGCTTCCCCCCATTCCCGGGGCTGTCTGGAGAGCAGGGCTCAGGATTAATGGGCTCAGGAAGGACCCTGGCACTGCACTTCCTTGGAAGAGGTAGAAATGCACAGACTGCCCCAGTCTGATCCAGGAGAAACTAGTTCAAGCCAAAAAGAAACCAGGCTGCAGAGAGGAAAAACTTAGCTTAGGGGAAAAGTGAGGCTGTGGCCTGGAGACTGTGATTCTTTCAGGGGACTGGGTTCCCAGGAGGAGCAGTGGAAATCAAAGGCCTGTCACACAAGAACCTGGCAGTTTTAGTCTGGAGCACGTGGAAGGGGCGGGCATGAGAGCTGCCTGTAGACATTTTTGCAAGGCTGTCATGTAGAAGAGGAGCTAACCTTGTTCTCTGAGGCTCTGGGGACAGCCGAGAGCAAATGTGTGAGACAGAAATCTATGCGGCATGATAATACCAGCTAACATTTATTGAGCTCCTCAGACTGTTTTATCTGCTTTATATGGATAAACTCATTTCATCCTCCCAGCAATCCCATGAGGGTAGGGACTCTTATGATAGTCATTTTATAGGGAGGAAACTGAGGCACAGAGAGCGTAAGTAACCTGTCCATACTCACACCGGCTATAAGTGGCACAGCTGGAATTCAACCCCAGGCTGTGCAGATGTAGCTCCTTTGATCTGAATAGAGGCTTCCACTGCTTCTCACATAAGAGAAACCGACCTGTAAGGCTGCCAGGGCTTTCTGTGGGGGCCTGGGCTGTCTAGACAGGCAGAGGTCCAAGCACAGAACAGTCTTGAGGAGACATGTGCCAACACCATATTCCTGGTGGAGGCCCTAAAGCATGGCTTCTCAAACTTTGGGGTGCTCTTAGGTCCCTCAAAGACCTTGACTGGTTAAGTGCAGATTCCATTTCTCAGTCTAAACAAGGCGATGATGATGCTGCCATTCAGAGGACCACACTTGGAGCAGCAAGTCCCTAGACGGTCTTTATGATGCTGGCCTGCTCTAGGAAATTATGATTTGCTTTACTTAAAGGCCAGGCAGATTTCTCAAACCGAGCAGCAGACTGACCTATAATAGGGGTTAATTCTTTGAGTTACAGACACTCATCAAAAGATCATTTAGAAGACCAACATCCTCCCAGAGGTCCTGCTAAAGCAGACATATACAGCCTGTCTTCTGCAGTCTTCTCCCTCTGAACCCATAATTCTTATTTGTGCCAATGTACATATGAAGCACGTGAGAAACCTTTTTACAAAGGAATAATACCACAGCCAAATAGCAAACTCATTCCATTAAACTCATATCCAGCAAAACATGCAGCAGGGACTCTCTCAGATGGAGGGAGGGAACACTTCACAAAGCCTGGCTCACATTGCAATCGCTGGTAAATCATCTGGCACGTTCTATTATGCAGCTAAAGTAAATATGGGTGAAGAAATTGTATGGCTCAATCAGCTGCACTCAATTTTTATGAACTTCTAAGATGCCCTAAATGCTGATCCCCTTTCAGGACTGTCCCTCCCCCACTCCACCCTCTGGGGATCCTGGCCAGATCCAGAAATTCACCATCTCTTCCCAGGTTTCCATGGAAATCAACCAAAAGCTCATATAAACTCCCACAGGCCTTCAGGCCCTTGTTGGACACTCCAGACCCCTTGTGCACACTTCCTTTTACTTAAAAAAAATCATAATAAAATTGCCATAAAAAATGTAATTGTGATAAAATACACATACCATAAAATTTACCATTTTAACCGTTAAGTGTACAGTTCAGTGGCATTAAGTACATTCACAGTGCTGTACAACCACCACCACCATCCACCACCAGAACTATTTTCTTTTTTTTTGAGACAGAGTCTCACTTTGTCGCCGAGTCTGGAGTGCAGTGGCGTGATCATGACTTACTGCAGTCTCGACCTCTTCGGGGAAGCTAAAGGGATCTTTGTGCTTTAGCCCTCTGAAGTAGCTGGGACTACAGGTGTGTGCCACCATGCCTGGCTAATTTGTATTTTTTGTAGAGATGGGGTTTTGCCATTTTGCCGAGGCTGCTCTTGTATTGCTGAGCTCCAGTGATCCACCTGCCTCCTCAGCCTCTCAAAGTGCTGGGATTATAGGCAAGAGCCAGTGCACCGGGCCAAGAACTCTTTTCATCTTGCAAAACTGAAAGTCTGTCCCCCTTGAACAATAACTTTACCCTTCTGCCTGCCTCTGGCAACCACCATGCTACTTTCTATCTGCATGAGTTTGACTGCTCTAGGGAACTCACAGAAGTGGAATCATACAGGCTTTGTCCTTTTGCATCTGGCTTATTTCACTTAGCATAATGTACCTCTCCTTACTTTTAAATAGCAGGAAAGTGGGAGCAACGGAGTTGGGCTTCTTTTTAAAAAGCACTTTGTTGAAATGTGGTTGTCTTCTAATTCAGCTAGAGCTCACCATCTGATAAAAGCTTTGGACATTATCCTCATGGGGTCCAAATCATGAACCCTGAATGCTATTACAGTTTAAAGACTTAATAATGTGTTCTCTTTGTTCAGTGATGTACCAGGACTGGCAGCTCCATTACCACCATCCTCACCAGGACCAGTGGCTGGGCTGGGTTGAGAGGTTGCTGGAGGGATGATTTCGTTAGGCTGCTTCTGCCTCAGTTTCCCCATCTGCTTCTGCTGTTGGAGGGGCTACAAGTTCTCCTCTGTCGGGCATTAGCATCCTGGGTGCTGCATGACAACTGACAGCAGTCTTTAAGTGAGGAACTCTGCTAGGCCAAAGTGATTAATTTTTAATAGGCTAGTCTGTGTGCAAAGGGCTGCTTTCAGTAAGATGCATTAACTGTCAAGCCATAAATAGACATCTGTCACGCTGGCTTTCAAGGGGAAATCTGGTGGCACTCTGGAGCAGTGGCTCTCAGACCTGCAACAGGCTGGACATACCTGGGGAACTTAAAAAAAATCCTGACATTCAGGCCACATGCTGTGCCAGTCACTTCAGAATCTCACGGGGTAGGACCCAGGCATCAGTGAGCTTTTTTGCAACTCCCCAAGTGATTCCAAAGTGTAGCTGTATTTGAGAACCAGCATCCCTTGAGGTCTTGAGTTCGCCTGCTTTGGAAAGGTAAATAGTATTTTTATGGTTCCTGGATGAGTACAGGTTTCTATTTCTACCTCCCCTCAGGATGAGATAAATCCTTGAGTAGCTACAGAGGTTTTCCACAGATGGCTGAACCATATGAAGTAAAACTTTACTGAAAAATCACTGATCGTAATAATAGCTATCATTTATTGAGAAATTATGATGAGCCAGGCACTGTGCCAAGTACTGCCTTATGAATAGTGCATTTAATTATCAAAATGACCCTGTGAAACAGGTAGAGAGAGGGAGCAAGGTCAAATTAATGAATAATTGGCAGAGCTGAGATCCGATCCCAGCAGTGAGTAAAACAATGTCCTTGTAATCATGGAATGCACATTTTGGTAGGAAAGACAGCTGAACAAACGAATGTGTGATACGTCTAGTGGAGACAAGGGAAAGGAATGGAAATAAAGCAGGCTAAGGAGCTAGAGAGTGATGGGGTGGGTGGTCTGGAAAGGGCTCTTGGATAAGGGGACATTTGATCAGAGACCAGAGTGAGTCAAGGGTGAGCCATGTGGCCATGTGGTAAAAGACATCAGAGTGGTTGATCTCTGAGCCCCAGGCCTCCCCTTTCTGTCCCTTACCTCTTCCCCTGAGGAGGGCAGAACCTTTTTCCTCCCTCCTAGCAAACTTTCCTCTCAGCTCCCTTATACAGCCAGGTATATAACTGAGAGCATATTAGAGATGGGAGGAAATATCTGTTGACATCCACTCTGTACAAGGGATTTTGCCCCAGTAGCTCAGCTCACCTCCTGAGAATGCTGTTGAAGGTAAGCGTTTCTTTTTCATTTTACATTTGCGGATATGACGGCAGGACCCTCCTCTCTGACTTAGCTGGCAAGGCTGTGTGATCAGACAGCATCCTGGACCTCTTTATCTCTAACTTCATAACTTGATAGCAGGGGTAGCTGTGAGGGCCCCTGAAGGCAAGAGCCAGCTGTTTTCTGTCTGCAGAGCACCCCTGCACAGGATAGGTGCCCACTTACAATCGAGTGAATGAATGGAGTACAAACTTTGAGCTCAAGGAATGATTGACATGCCATGAAATTCAGGAACTGACCACCAGCCAGGAGAAAATTAGTTCGAAGTTTAATTGCTGTGTAAAAATCTCAGGACAAAGGTAGTATCTGTGTTCAAGTCTAGCCCCTGCCAGGTGGGGGATGAGGCAGCTTTCTATTGAACATGCTCTTCATGCTACGGTGTGGGAGCCAGACCCCTCGGGCTGCTAATCTTGCCTGGGACCAACCTGAAGGTCCGACTCATAGCTTTACTGCACCCCTCCACACCTCCACCCTCAAAAAGAAAATGTGAGTCCAAAAGCACTTTTGAAAATGGGTAAGAATAATGACGACCTGCCAGGTGCTGACCATGAGCTTGGGGCGCTCCTCACCTTCTCTGTCTCCTTCCACTCTGTCATCATGATGCTCTCCCAGAATGGCTGTTGTCGTTATCCCTACTCCACAGAAGAGAATGCAGAGGCAGGGAGGGTAACGACATGGTCCAACATCACAGAGTGTAGTCCAACATAGCAGAGTCCTCCATCATCCCTCCGGGCCCCAAAGTCCCCCTCCAACTCCAGCCTCTTCACAGCTGCTCCCACTCCACAGGACTGAAACTCTTCTCAGTTTGACTTGCAGAGCACGCTCAGAACAAAAGGAACTTCCCTGACTTCTCTCTTCTCAGAAGGCTCTAGAATATGACCCGCAACTCTTGTGATGCAATCAGTAGACTAAGAGAAATCAGAGAGAGATACACATCTTTTTTTTTTTTTTTTTTTTTTTTTGGAGACAGGATCTCACTTTGTCATTCAGGCTAAAGTGCAGTGGCTTGATCTCCTGGGTTCAAGCGATCCTCCTCCTGCCTCAGCCTCCCAAGTAGTTGGGACTACAGGCACGCGCCACCCAGCCTGGCTAATTTTTGTACTTTTTGTAGAGACAGGGTTTCCCCTTCTTGGCCAGCTAGACTCGAACTTCTGAGTTGAACTGTTGTACTCACCTCAGCCTCCCAAAGTACTAGGATTACAGGCATGAGACACCGTGCCTGGCCTGTCTTGCTTTTTTCTACTGATGCAAGATGAGGGAGGACTTAGATTGGTCTGGAGAGCGTGACAGATTTTGGAGTCTCTGGGTAGACTCATTATACAGATGGTGTGGGAGGGAATGAAATGGGCCTTAGAGAGCTTACCTGAAGTTTAAAAGTCTCTCTATCACAGGGTCTGCCTGGGAAGGGCAGGTCTGGGGAAGGAGGAGGCTCCTGCTGGCCCAGCCTAAATGTAGGCAGGAAGCAGCTCCCTGCAGAACATGGGGGATGCCCATGCTCCTCCTGAACTTGACCACCTGCCTGTCCTGGTACAGGAGTCTCATCTACAGAGTAGCTGCTTTTAGTTAGGGTAGTGTTTCCTGAAATGACTTCACATTCGGAAGGTGTTAATAGCCAGCAGGGGAGATAGGATGTGTGCCCAGACACTCTTTGGACAGGCTGGCAACAACCAATGAGGTTTATATATAGTCTCAGAGTCTTCTGAATGGGGATTTAGTGTGTGGCTCTTGTCAAACCTCTTTGACCACTTATCCACTTTTTTCTAGGTGCATCATGGGGACCAATCTTAGGACAGGCTGTGAGGAATGCTGGGTAAGGTCAGCATTAATGTCACCACATCAATTCGATACCTGGGAGAGGAAACATATTGACCTGCTAAGCCCACTGTCTTCTGTTAGCAAGATGAATGTTATGGCACCTGCTGAATGCTCTGTGTGAATGGAGGTGCACGGCCTCCCCCACTTATCCTGAGAGCCCCTAAGTGCTGTGACCTCTTGGTATGGCCGGTGCCTGCAGATGGAAGATGCTGAAGGCAGGTGGCTGCATGTTACAAAAGCCATTAGCAATGCCAGCTACTTTCATTCCACGGAGATTGTGTCCCCTAGGAAAAGCAGGGACGGATGTTTTGGCTAGGAAAGGGAAGGTGGGGAGCACAGGTTACTGGAGGAAGGAGGTGCCTGCTGGATGAGCAGCACTGAAACCACTGCCCAGGCTGGCCAGGCAGGGAAGAAGCACATGCAGCGGGGATGGAAGAGGGGAGTGAGCATGGGAAGGAAGGCAGCAAAAAGGCCCTGAGATCAACTCAAGAGGGGTCTCCAGCATTGCCTCTATTAGGGTCCAAATCCAACTCTTGGCTCAGTAACCCTGTCTGACCCTGACCTTGGGAAGGGTCTTTTGGCCCTGGTGACCCAGGCAGCCTGCCTGGATCATACTATTAATAGGGAACCATATCATTTCTGCGGAAACTCTTCTGGGAAAATCTGCACGTTGCAGGCAGGTACACCACTTTTGAAGTGCCCACATGCTGGGAGGCAGCTCCCAGGTCACCTGTTCCAGAGAATTATAGTCTCATTTCAGATGATCTTTTAACAGGCCTTTACTAAGTGTTTCCAGTCGGTCCAGCCCTGTGTGTGGTACTATGAATCAAGGGACTGTCTCCAGGGAGCTTACACTCCAGTTCTGGGCAGTAAGTATGCTAGTTCAACTGCAAAGACTATCAGGAAACCAGGGCACAGTCAACACTGGGTGAGGGCAGGGGGATGGGGCAGTCACTGTATGAAGAAGGAAACAGAAAAGGGGCCAGGTTGGATCTAGGTTTGGGGAGCCTCTTAAAAATACAAAATCATGAACACACAATTAGATATAAAAGTGAACATTTATGTTTAATCAGAAAAGTAACTGCAGCAAATTTAAAATTATAAAAAGCTGGTATATACTACCAACAGCATGGAATTCATAAAAATAACATTTTTACTAATTAGCTGCTTGGCAAACTGCAGGTAGCAAATGTAAACGTGCTGCATAATCTCTGATCTTCTCTTCTGTGACAATTTTGTAATATGATTCTTTTGTTTTTTAAGAGATAGGGTCTTGCTATGTTGCCCAGGCTAGATTCAAACTTCTGGGTTCAAGTAAACATCTGACCTCAGCCTCCTGAGTAGCTGAGACTACAGGCATGCATGCACCACCATGCCCAGCTTGAAAGATAACTCAGTTTTTGAAAGATAGTTAAAAAGATAACTGTCTTTCTTCTAGTGTGGTTGATACTTTAGTATTTTTTTTTTTTTTTTAAAGACAGAGTCTCTCTTCATCACCCCGGCTGGAGTGCAGTGGCATGATCTCAGCTCACTGCAACCTCTACCTCCTGGGCTCCAGCGATGCTCCCACCTCAGCCTTTCCAGTAGCTGGGAACACAGGGGTGTACCACCATGCCCAGCTATTTTTTTCTAATTTTAGAAGAGATGGGGTTTCACTATACTGCCCAGGCTGGTCTCAAACTCCTGAGCTTAAGCGATTTGATCCACCTGCCTCAGCCTCCCAAAGTGTTTGGATTACAGGCATGAGCCACCACGCCTGACCTAGTATGGTTGATATTTATAAGACATTATACCTTTTCTGGATCATGATCAAATTTGGGAAGTATCCTATTTAGTGTTCTTTTGTACATGACCTATAAGATTTGGGGAGCATTTCCAATATTCTTATGTGGTGACTCAACTTCTATTCTCTTTGAATTAATGACATTCATTCAGTTGCTGATGATGTCCTAGTTGCAGTCACATGTTATGAGTTATGAGTGTAGGTGTTTGCGTGAGGACCTCGTGAGTTGATTCTACAGGCCTTAGCAGGATTTCTTTCCTTTCCTTTTCTTTTTTTTTTTCTGAGATGGAGTTTCTCTCTTGTTACCCAGGCTGGAGTGCAATGGTGCAATCTCGGCTCACCGCAACCTCCACCTCCTGGGTTCAGGCAATTCTCCTGCCTCAGCCTCCTGAGTAGCTGGGATTACAGGCACGCGCCACCATGCCCAGCTAATTTTTTTTGTATTTTTAGTAGAGATGGGGTTTCACCATGTTGACCAGGATGGTCTCGATCTCCTGACCTTGTGATCCACCCGCCTTGGCTTCCCAAAGTATTGGGATTACAGGCGTGAGCCACTGCGCCCGGCCCAGCAGGATTTCTAGAAGTTATTCCTACACCACAATGCTGATAATAACCTAACTGCACATATGGATGTAACTGCAAACCATGTAAACAGAACGTACTAAAACTAAATGCATCCCCAGTGCTACCTCCCTTAAGTCAGCACCACCAAATGCCCAGCCAGGCAAGTGCCGCCCAGCAGGAGGGAAAGTCTGAATGGCAACAGCCCATTTTCTAACAAATTGCTCTCTAAATAACTTGCTTTGTGAACACTATAAAAACATGTGACCATGCGAACACAAGGTTAGGGTCCCTCCCAGGGCCCTGGTCAGTGTTGTGCAAAGAGAGGCCTTGGAGTTAAGTTTCACAAACTCCACGGTAAATCTGGCCCTGACCAGAGTAAAACAGGCAAAAGAAGAGGATAATGGCCAATGAGGATGTGGATGGGGGTAGGGGTGTCTTGTTAGAATTTGAACTAGGAAAGCAGAAACATATTCTAGGAACCCTCTTTGAAGTAATCCATGGTAGGGACCATGTTCTTATAGGCGGAGGCAAATCATCTCAAGGGCTGGTCATCCTGGAGAGTTTGCAAAGAGGCTCCAGGTATTCCCTAGAGAAGGGAACGTGTGAGGCGCATGGCTGCAGGGGAAGCTAACGTGGTTTTCAAAGGTGTTTCTTTCCTTCACACAAACAAGCTGGTGAGAATTTCAGCTGCCAGAAAAGGTTTGATTTCCTCCCCTTCCATCTTACTTTCTTAAATTCCTTTACCACGGGCCAAAACCCACAGTTGCAACTTTGAATGGAATATCTAGAGAGGCAAATTCCCTTTCTCCCGCCCCCAACTCCCGCCTAGAGAATCTGCAGGGATTTTCTCCTTCACACTCAGCAATGCATCCGAGAGGGTTTTGAAGAGCTGAGGAAGGAAGGAGAATGCAAATGTCCCAGACACTTGGAGGGAGGCAAGGCTCTGAGGAGGGGAAGAGGCACAGGTGGTGGGTGTGGGTTCTGAAGATAAAGTCTGCCTTCTTCACAGTTTTCAACAACCCTGCTTGGTGGGTCCTGCCTACCCTCAGCAGATGGGTCCACTGAAGAGTGCTGATGTTTGCGTCACTGTTAATCACACAGAGCTGCCAGTGAATTTGGTTTGCAAAACTGAAATACATGCAACAGTTGATCTGGCACCTGTAGCTAATTCCCTTTCACAGCTGTACAGATTTCCAGTGTATTTATATGGAGAGTTTGTCAAGAGGGACTAGGTATTTTTTGTTGTTTCTGTTAGATTTACTTCTAACTGCCTGACATATCATAAAGCATTTGGCTGGTCTTTATTCTCAGTTCTGGAGGAAGCTTCTAAACCCTTGGAATTTTCTGAGTGATAGAAGTGTCTGTTACTCATGGTGGGCCCCTGAAACCATATCTGACTTGATGCTAATGAGGCAACTCATGGTTGGTCCCTAGATGGCTTCAGGATGGGGATGACTGTGATTAGAGGGCTGGGGCTTTGAGCCACATGATATCAGCCCAACTTCCAGGGGTGGAGAGGGGCTTGAGGTTGAGTTCAGTTAGGTGGCCGATGATTACATCCATCATGCCTAGGTAATGAACCCTCTCCAAAACACTCTGGGCACTGAAGCTCAAGTGAGCTTCCCTAGTTGGTGATACATACTCAAGTGCCAAGAAGGTGACATGTCCTGGGAACACAGAAACCTCACATTTGGGAGCTTCCCAGACCTCATCCTCTAGTTCTCTTCTTTTGGCTGAATCCTTGATAATAAAACTATAATCATAAATACAGGGCTTTCCTGAGTTCTGGGAATCAGTCAAGTGAATGATCAAATCTGAGGGAAGATGAGAATCTCCAAATTTGCAGCTATTGGGTCAGATATGCAGGTGACCTAGGGACCCCTGGGCTTGTGGCAACTAACTGAGGTGAAAGCACCCTTGTGTGGGAATGCTGTTAACCTGCAAAGTTTGCCCTAACTCTGAGTCAGAACTTAATTGCCAAATATTATTTGGTTGCTATTATAGATGGCATACTATTTATGTTTTCTGCTTTTAGCCAGTGTACAGAAATGAAATCGATTTTTGTATATTGATCTTGTATTCAGCAACATTGCTAAAGTGTTTATCTTAAGTCATCAATTTGATTGGGTTTTATTTAAACAATCAAATCATCTGTGAATAACAACAGCCTTATTTTATTTTGCTTGCTAGGACCACTAGTGCAATGATGCACTGGGAAATAGTGAACACCTTTATGTGTCCCTGGTTTAAAGAAAAAGCTTTTAACATTTCACTGTTAAACATAATACTACAGAAGGTTTTTGGTAGAAACCATTTTTTTGGATGAAGGTAGTTCTTTTATTCCTGGTTAGTTATATCATTCACAGATACTGAATTTGCTAGAATGCTTTTTCTATATCTATTGAGATGATCATGGGGTCTTTTTTTCCCCTCTTTTGTTTCTGGTAAGTCAAAAGAATGTATTTTTCTAATGTTTGTTATAGTAAACTCCAAGTTTCTCTTCAAAGAATCAGTATGTCAGTATGTTCAGCTCTCTTATTCTTTAATTCTCTATTTTAAAGTTTCACTTCCTTGTAGTTCCAGTAAACAACCTTCTCCACTGGTGCTAATCAGTAGTTCACATCTGTTCCCTCAGCCCCTGGCTCCATCCTGACTCATCCCAGTCACCTGTTCCAGTCACCTTCTTTGACCTAGGTCACCCCTGGCTAGCTGCTCTGACCCGCCTGTAACTGTCCTTCTTGCCAAAACACCCACCCTGCCACTCCTGCTCAGACATCTGCTCTCCTTAAAATAGCCAATCGGGATTAGTCTGGCTTGTGCAGTCTAACCCTAGCCAATAGGGTAATGACACAGCAGTAGGGACAACCCTGGTTAGGCATAAGTGCCCCTTAACCCCTTGTCCAAGCATGTGGCCACCATTGTTCCATCTATAGGCTGCACCCTTCTATAGAAGTAAACTGCCCTTCTGAGAGGATTTATCTTCGAGTGCTGTTTTTTTTTTTTTTTTGCGGTATTGAAATTTTACTTATAACATGTTAAACCAACTTTGCATTTCTAATATGAGTTCAATTTGGATATATTTTATATATTACTCAATTTTTATTTCTGAGATGGAGTCTTGCTCTCTTGCCCAGGCTGGAGTGCAGTGGCACGATCTGGACTCACTGCAGCCTCCGCCTCTTGTGTTCAAGTGATTCTCCTGCCTCAGCCTCTCAGGTAGCTGGGATTAGAGGTGCGTGCCACCACACCTAGCTAATTTTTGTATTTAGTAGAGATGAGGTTTTACCATGTTGGCCAGGCTGGTCTCAAACTCCTGGCCTCAGGCCATCTTCCCGCCTCAGCCTCCCAAAGTGCTGGGATTACAGCCATGAGCCACCGCGCCTGGCTATATTGCTGAATTTTGTTTGTTAATATTGTTTTGAGGGCTTTCGCAACTATATTCTCATTAGTGAGACTGGCTCGCAATTTTCCTTTTTCATATTACACTTGTGTGATTTTGGTACTAAGGTTATAATGTAGGGAAATAGAAGCTTTTTATCTATTTTCTATTATTTGTTATTGAAAAGTTTGGTTGAAGTTGGTAAAACTATTGGACATGAGGTTTCCTTTCAGAGAAGATTTAACTACTGATTCAATTTTAGTAGTGACTGCATTATTTAGGTGATCTATTTCTTTCTTAGTCAATTTGATGATAAATTTTTCTAAGAATTTGTTCCATGTGTTTAACATAAAATACAAGGACATATTTATTTTATATACTTAGAAATGTTTGATAAATATGTATTTAATACATGAATATTTATGAGCATGGACTTCATGGTATTCCCAAAGTTTGGAGTCTCTGTTGTGTCTGTAGTTATGTTCCTTGATAATTTAGGGCTGTTTGAATGCCTTTGGTTCTGAAGGCCCCCTGGCCATTCAGTGGAAGGCCTAATACTCTGAAGCTTGCTGAATTGCAGCCCAATTTGATTTTATTTGATATTGATCAAAGATTATAATAAATAGGAGTGTTGGGAGCAGGGCCAAGAAATGTAATCTAGTCCCTGATTAGGTTTCTTCATTTATTCCTTCAGTAGAATGAAAGTAGCTGGTAGGAGCACTTGGGCCAGTGAAACATCCCAGGTACTTGGGAACCCTTGAGCGTCTCTATCTTCAGATGGCTGAGCACGGCTTTGTACTGGCAGGCCCAGGCTCAGGGGTGACTGATGTTATTCTGTTTCCTACCTTCCCCTCTGTGGCTCAAGTGACAGCTTATCCCCTGTCCCCTGCCCATTTAGATATTTTAGTGTGTGGTTAGGAACCTCAGAGGCTGTAGACCTGCTCTTCTGTCTCCTTCTCCAAAAGAGACATTATAGGTCATTTCAGTCAAGTCTCTCATTTTGCTGTTGAGAAACTGATCATCCCCATCACCATCACCAATAGCAGCAGTGATTACTAAAAGCTCTTACAATATGCCTGCAAAACACTGTGTTAACACTTTACATAAAAAATCTCAATGAATACGCTTATTGAATTATTAATATAGCCTACATCTATTGAGCTTCTACTCTGCTCCAGGTACTTTTCTGGGTGCTGGGACAGAGCAGTGAACCAAGCAGAGAAGCTCCCGTACTGTGGCACCCAGATGCTACCCCGGTAGGTTTGGTGTTCTTATTCCTATTTTACAGATGAGTAAAGTCAGACTTGGGAAAGAGAAGGTGAGAGTAGCTAGTTACACGTTAAAGCTGTGAATTAACAACCCAGGCTTTGTTTTGAACAGCTATGCTATGCTCTACATCAGCAATTCTCAACCTTAAGCACGCATCAGAACCCTCTGGGGAGTTTGCTAAAACTCATTGCTGGCCCCACCCCCAGAGTTTCTGACTCAGCAAGTCTCAGGAGTGGCCAGACAATCTGCATGTGTAATGAGTTCCCAGGTGATGCTGACGCTGCTGATCTGGGCCCCACACTTTGAGAACTGCTGTCCTGTGCCACAGAACTAAGTTTCTGCATCTTCCCTCCTGCCTCTTTCAGGCCCCACTTTTTTCTTTCTCTAGGGACTCAAGTGCCGTGTCTCTCCTCCAAATGTGTGCAAGGCACTGCATACCAGGAAGACCACCTGTATGTCCCGGGACCTCAACCCCACTGCCATCAGCTGGTGTCGGTATGTGCTGCCATCACCATCTGACTATGTGCATAATTGCCTTAATTAAATAGGTTCTCACGTACAATCTGTGTAAACGTGTTACGCTGCTAGAAAGGGCTGTTCCTGCACCTGATTTCTTAGGCTGTATTATGGGCAACACACATCAATCACAGCAGCTGAGGCTCTAGCTTTCAACCGGAAGACCAGGGGTTTCTCTGGGTTTTCGCTTTCAGGGTGAGTGCTGTGAAGATCCTCTCAGACCTGCAGGTTCTGCTGCATTTTTTCATGTGCCTCTTTCCAAGGAAGCCCACACTACTTGCTCCCCAGGCAATTGTGTCTCAGGCATAGGAGCTGCTGCCCACCTTAAAATCGGGATGTCACTGGCTGTATCCCCAACAGTGCTCAGCTCAGGGGGTCCCTAGGGCAGAGCAGCTGTTTTGAGGCACTCAGGACTGAGGTGGTTAACAGTTACGGTCACTCTGTCCTGTATGTAATTCAAGTAAAAGCAACAGAAACCATGAAATAAGTGTAAGGGAGTCCAACAAAGGTCAAATGTTCTTCCCACAATGACTATTTGATATTTCTAAAAAACAGTAAATATCAAATTCTTTACAAATCCTTCTTGGATGTTCTGGCTCTGCTGGTGCCCTCTCAGGTGCTCCAGCACAGAATAAGTGTATACACAGTGCAGGGTAAATAGTTTCCCTTTTTTTTTTTTTTAAATCAGGGGAGCAGCCTGGCTCTCATCTCACCCACAGCATCTTGGGGATTCCTCAGATGCTGTGCTGTAAACACAAACTCTGGAGCTGCGTTCAAATCCTGAGCCAACAACTTATTTGCTGGTGACTTAAAGCAACTTTCTTAACCTCTCTGAGCCTCAGTTTCCTCATCTGCATAATGGAGCCAATATCTACTTCATAGGGTTGCTGTCAGGATGAAACAGAAAATGTAGGAGAAGCTCCTACACAACTCCGAATAGATGTGACTCTGCCTTCCCTTTAGCAATCTCCATTTTGATAGAGACTTGGATGGTCCCCTCTTGCTTATTATATTTTGTCCAAACCCTGCAGTCTCATGTCTCAGGTGCTCCCCCTGCCTCCCTCCCCATCCTATGCAGCCTTCTCACTTTCTGCTCCCCAGGCGCCCTCTCTACTGCACACATGATGTCCACCACCTTCTCTCTTGCCACCACCCTCACCTGAAGTGCCTCCTCCTCCCTCCCTTTGTTTTTAAATCTTGACAACCCACCAGGCTCACATCAAGTGTGTCCTCAGATTGGACCTCTTACATAGGGGGAAAACAGGACTAGAAAAATAGGAAGGGAAAGGAAAGGGTTCCATACAAGACCCAGTCTGTATCGCTTGCTTCACACAGACTATACATGCCAATTTCTCTGATGTGCTAAGATTTGAGTCTATATTTTTGTTTGCTTGTTTGTTTTGAGATGGAGCCTTGCTCTGTCACCCAGACTAGAGTGCAGTGGCATGATCTTGGCTTACGGCAATCTCTGCCTCCCATGTTCAAATGATTCTTCTGCCTCAGTCTCTTGAATAGCTGGGATTACAGGGATGTGCCACACCACCCTGCTGATTTTTGTATTTTTAGTAGAGACTGGGTTTCACCATGTTGGCCGGGCTGGTCTCAAACTCCTGACCTCTAGTGACCTGCCCGCCTCAGTCTCCCAAGTGCTGGGAATATAGGCGTGAGTCACTGGGCCCGGCCTGAGTCTGTTCTTGTCTTTCTGGTTGAATCACCAGCTTCTGATAGGCAGGGAGCAACAGTAATAATAACAAACACTGCCAGTTATCAGACACTTACCATTTAGGCTTATTTAATGCTTAGAGTGGCCAGTGAAGAAGTAATAATATAATTTCCCTCCTGCAATACCCAGCACAGACTTTTCACAGTCAGTAAACATCTGTTGATGGTGACAACGGTGATAGAGTAATGACTAACATCTGGATGCTTCTTTGCTCTTTCCTCTGTCACCGAGGCTGGTGTGGATATAGAGTAAGGGAGCAAGGAGAGCTAGCTGTGGGTTGGCAAAGAGACGAGTAGGACCCGATCTTCTTGGATGAATAAGTGGCCATCTCTGTGGGGTCACCAAAGGCCCCTCTACTCAAACAACTTGCTGGGGGCCTGTCATGGGCCAGATATTCCAACATTAAGAATAAATTATTTGGGTTAATATTCTGGGTGTGACATCTGTCATTCATTAAGTATTAATTACTCACAGTTGGGAGATATAGCCATGAGCCCACCAAAAATAGCTTAACATAGCAGGGCTCCGGTGAGAAGATATGAGATAAAATAAACATGCTTTTTAGTGGAGTTTATTTGGGAGTTTGTCATGCTTCTCTCAGCAGGACTTTGAGGGAACAGCTTACCAGCCAGGGGACTTTTGAGGTGAGGGGAACATATTTGGCCCATGGGACAGGGATTGTAAAGGGGAGTAATGGCCCTGGGTGCCCTGAGGAACCAAGTGCATGGAGGAGGGAGGATGGAGGTTGACAGTCACCTGGGGCTGTCCTCAGAGAATCTGTGTCCAGCAAGATTGTGGCATCCTTGCGGGAGGTCATTCTGATGTCCAAGTTTCTCAGAGAGCAGCAGATTTACCGTAGTATGCACACAGCCCTACGACTTTCTTTGGATGTTAGTCATTTTGCATAGAAATGTTCTCAGAAGAGGACCTTTCTGATTTTCCCCATCCCAAGTGCCTTTCAGATAAATGCTGAATACTTCTCACTGAATCAAAGGCAGGAAGCCACAGCCCTGTGCATGAGCACCCTGTGCATGAGCCTCCTCTGCATCCCACAGCAGCTCCTGCAGCCCTCCTGTGGCTTCGGGACAGAACCAAGGAATGGGTTTGAAAATGTGTGTGGTGGAAAATGCGTTGAGCCTCAAGTCAGAAGTCCTGGAGTCAGGCCCAGATCTTCGACTCACTGGTTTTATAAGCCCAGGCAAGTCTTAGTTTTTCTCTATAAAATCATATGCACCCTTCCTATACCGTAGCATTACCACGGGAATCCAGCGGTAGTCAAACACGTGGAAACAAACCCATGGAAAGCACATGCACGCTTGAAAGCACTACTCCACCCAGCGGCTACTGCCATCCACACAACTGGCTGCTCAACTTTGACTGGAATTTAATATCCTCCTACAGGGTCAAGATTTGAACACCAGTTCTGATTTGGGTCATCACACACTGCAGCACTCAGAAGTCAAAGGGCGGAAGAAACCCCTCTAAGGAGCCAGAGAGCTGTGATTCTTGGTGAATTCTTTGTCTGCCTTTAAATTTTTTTCTGTATCCTTACTTGTCAGACTATCAGCTGTTACTTCCTTCTGCTTGAAGTCTCTAGTTTGCTGCTTGTAGTCCGTTGTGGATTTGACAACCACACGATGAAGTTTATTACAGTTGTGTATAAATTGAGTGCACAGAGGCACAGATAAAACATATTCACTTCGTGTGTGGCCTGTGTACTATCTTTTTTTTTGAGATGGAGTCTCACTCTGTTGCCCAGGCTGGAGTGCAGTGGCACTATCATGGCTCACCGCAACCTCAGCCTCCCAGGTGCAAGTGATTCTCCTGCCTCAGCCTCCTGAGTAGCCGGGACTATAGGCATGCACCACCATGCCAGGCTACTTTTTGTATTTTTTAGTAGAGACAGGGTTTCACCATGTCAGCCAAGCTGGTTTCCAACTCCTGGTCTCAAGTGATCCACCCATCTCAGCTTCCCAAAGTGCTGGGATTACAGGCGTGAGCCACCGTGCCTAGTCTGTGCTATCTATTTAACCCCTTAGGATCTTTTCAACTTCTGCCTTGCCTGTGGTTCAGATGGATGCCACTGCAAAATGGAGGAGCTGCTGTCCTTACTCATGAATTCAAAACCCGGACTCTACTGGGAAGCCAGCCACGATCCCTAACTCGGTTCTCTCCTGCCTGGGGACCCCGTGAGAGGACACATCAAAGCTGGAGCTGATGGAAACAGGTATCAGTATTCCTGGTCCTCCAACCCCAGCTTCTAGCCCACTTTGGCCCTTTTGTTTTTCCTCCCACAGGCCCCTGGCTCCGTCCCACCAAGTAATAAGTGCTGCAAACAGCTCGTGTCTATTGAGGGCCTCTCCCTACCTGGCCCTATGCTGAGTACTTCTCATTCTTTATTTCATTTAGTCCTTAGAACAACTCTACACAATCAATGCTGTTTTTTTCTTTTTACAAGTCAGAAAACTGAGCATAGAGAGGGCATAACTTGCCTAAGGCCACACATTTCTTAAGGAACAGGGTTGTCCCCTGCCTGCTGCTCTCCAGCATTATTTCCCCTGGGCTTTCAACAGTGAATCTGAGGTCCCACTCAATCCTGAATGTCAAAAATTCTGTTCTACAAAGAGTACAGTGGCCTGCAGCAGAGATCTCCCATGCATCATTTGGTCCGAGGAAAATAAGGGTCAGTTTTCTCCAGAGGGCGGGGAGAGGCCCTGCATGGAGCCTGAGGGTGAGACTGCCCAGGACCTAGGCTACAGGCCGATAGCAGCGAGGCAGTGTGACTTCTGCAGCAACAGCAGAAGGGTTGTTCAAAACAACACTGCCTCTGGCTGGGTGCTGTGGCTCATGCCTGTAATCCCAGCACTTTGGGAGGCCGAGGCAGGCAGATTGCAAGGCCAGGAGATCGAGACCATTCTGGCCAACATGGTGAAACCCTGTCTCTACGAAAATACAAAAATAAGCCAGGTGTGGTGGCACACGCCTGTAGTCCCAGCTACTTGGGAGGCTGAGGCAGGATAATTGCTTGAACCGGGGAGGTGGAGGTTGCCGTGAGCTGAGATTGCACCAGTGCACTCCAGCCTGGGAGACTGAGCGAGACTCTTGTCTCAAAAAAACGCCAAAATAAAGAAACAAAAAAACACTGCCTCCACCTGATAGCTGATGACTGAAGATTCTTTTACCTGAAAAGGAATTCAACCTCCCCTTTCATAATAAAAAAGAAAACCGAAAATGTAGACATTCTAAGCTATGTGACCCTGCGTTACATTCATACTAGTGTAAAGGCTGACACCAGCTCCCTTTTAAAGATCTATTAAAGAGTACCCACCTTCAAAAGAAGGTGGGCATGTAGGGGGATGGGAAAGGAGATGGGGGTAACCAAAGTGTAGATCTGAGTGCTAAGGTGGGGAAGGGGTAGAGAGATGGGAGACTGGGAGATGACAAGAAAAGACTCCACCATCTCTGCAGTTTTGGCTAGAACCCGGCTGCAGATACTCTCATTCTCTTGACAAACTTCTGGAGCTGCTCCCTTGACAAAGGTGCTCTGGGCCAGAGCCTGCTGAAAATCTTTAGGCAAAACCTGAAAATGATAAGCTACTTTACAAAGGAATTCTCCGGGCTAAATGTCTCTTTTCTATATGCCCTGACTTGAGAATGGCTAGTTCTGGACAACTGCCTCAACTTGGATGTCACATGGGCATTTAAATGACCACATGGGTGTGTGTGAGAACTGTATCGACACAGACTAGGCACACACAATATGCCCCAGGATTTGTTAAGTTGGATGGCAGGTCTTCATTATCTTTATGTTTTCTTATTAAACATCAAAACATGTCAAATTTCAACTGCGCATGAATCGTTTCGTTGTGCCTCCAGTTAAGTCAGGCTCTTGTCCCTCCTCTTTGGTCCCTGCCTTCCCAGGATAGGCTTTGCCTTCTGGCCAGTCCATTTCTGGAGCTTTCATTTTGCCATCTAGCAGGGCAGATTTGTATTTAGATCTGTACTTTTTGGCCGGGGGGGGGTGGCTCACACCTGTAATCCCAGCACTCTGGGAGGCCAAGGGAGGATTGCCTGCAATCAAGAGATTTTGAGACCACCCTGGACAACATGGTGAAACCCGGTCTCTACCAAAAAATACAAAATTTAGCCAGGCTTGGTGGCACATTCCTGTATTCCAAGCTACTTGGGAGGCTGAGGTGGGAGGATCGCTTGAGCCCAGGAGGCGGAGGTTGCAGTGAGCCACGATTGAGCTACTGCATTCCAACCTGAGTGACAAAGCAAGACCCTGTCTCAAAAAAAAGAAAAAAAAAAGAGTTGAATTTCAACCGAGCATGAATCTTTCCTTTGTGCCCCCAGTTAAGACAGACTCCTGTTCCTTCCTTCCTACCTTTTGGTACCTGCCCTTCCCAGGACACACCATACCTTCCCGGCCAGTGCATTTCTCGAGGTTTCATTTTGCCACCTAGCAAGGCAGATTTGTATTTTTTAATTGCAAAAGTAGTATAGGTTCATTTAAAAATTGCAATAATTAAAGAAGTACACTTCAGAGTAAATGTCATTCCTCAATTCTCAAGATACTCCCCACCTCCATTCCCTAAGGGGAGTGACAAGAAGGTATCATTCCCATCTTTCCTTCCCTCTCTCCACCAACAAACACATAGACTTTCTTTTTCCAAATTGAAATGATTCTATTGTACTTTACTGGAATCTTCTTTTTCCCCCTCATCTATTACAGATGACTTCTCATAAGAGTGTTAAAAGAGCTTTTTAAATGGTTGCACAGGACAGAATCCTTTTGTCATTTAAGATCTGTTCAAAGCTCTTTACATTTTTGTTCTGAATGTATTTTGCTCTCCATATGAGTTTGGGTTCTCTAAAACATTTCAGCCAGTGCTAACTCATGGTGTCGAGCTATTAGTGATAAGACGCTCTTCAGGGAAAGAAATTGGCATAGTTTGCACTAAAACTCACACCTGGATCTGAAAGTAGGTGTGGGAGTAGATTAGAAATATAAAAGCTCAACCTGAATGATTCACATTAAAATAAGGAGTGCAGCTACCATTTTCCTTTTCTACTATTTGTAAAGCAAAAGCCCTGGAGAGAACCAAGCCAGAGCTGCTGGCCAGCAAGGTCACTTCAATGACCTGCTGAGGCAGGTGAAGGGATTCCTGCCAGCTGGCAGGAGAGCCAGCCTGGGAGTGGCAAGCCTTCTGGGGCTCTAGCTCAGGTGAAGGGGAGAGGCCAGCCCCTTCCCCAGACTCTTCCTGACTGCCTGCACTGTCCAGACGGGCCCCTAGAGTCCTGATATGAGACCTCAAGGACTCCTTTCTAATAGGGATGACCAGATTCTAGGGCCCACGGTATTAATTCCTAAGACAACATTTACAATAAGAAGTTGCACTAGCTCGGTCTTCCTAAAGTGTTGTCATTATTATTAGATGTTAGCTGGTAAATAGGCTTTATGTCAAATTTGAAGAAATCTGAGTTATCGTTAAACTGGTTTTTTAAATTGTAGGACTTATCAGAGCCTTTGTTAGCTTATGTACTTGAGTCTTCTAGAACAACAGCTCCTATGTTTAAACATTTTGTCAAGGTGGGGTCTCGCTATGTTGCCCAACTAAGCCTGGTCTTGAACTCCTGGGCTCAAGTGTTTCTCCTGTGTCAGCTCTCAAAGTGTTGGGATTACAGGCATGAGCTACCATGCCTGGCTGGACAACATCATTTTTAACCTAGAGGCCCTTGAAGAAAAAGTCAGCAAATACGTGCAGTTTTGTTAACTTGAGCCTTCTATGACTTTGTCCTCAGTGCTATTCTCTAAAACATCTATTCCCCCTGCCCTTCTCCTCGAAGGTGAAACACCAGCGTACGGGAAGTCAGCATTCCAGGCAGCAGGATAGTTTTTTTTATTTTTTCAAATTTTTGAGACAGAGTTTCATTCATGTTGCCCAGGCTGGAGTGCAATGGTGCAACCTCAGCTCACTGCAACCTCCATCTCCCAGGTTCAAATGATTTTCCTGCCTCAGCCTCCCAAGTAGCTGGGGTTACAGGCATGCACCACCACATCTGGCTAATTTTTTGCATTTTTAGTAGAAACGGGGTTTCACCATGTTGGTCAGGCTGCTCAAACTCCTGACTTCAGGTGATCCACCTGCCTCAGCCTCCCAAAGTGCTGGGATTACAGGCGTGAACCACCGCACCCGGCCAGCAGCATAGCTTTATGGGAGCCTCTTTTGCTGAGTCCTAGAATGGATATGCACGCAGGCACGCACTTAACTACCTACCTACCTTCCTTCCTTCCCTCCCTCCTTTCTTGTTTTTCCTTCCTTCCTTCCCTCCTTCCCTTCCTTCTTTCCTTTCTTCTTTTTCTTTCCTTCCCTCCCTCCCTCCCTCCTTCCTTCCTTCCTTCCCTCCCTCCTTTCTTGTTTTTCCTTCCTTCCTTCCCTCCTTCCCTTCCTTCTTTCCTTTCTTCTTTTTCTTTCCTTCCCTCCCTCCCTCCTTCCTTCCTTCCCTCCTTCCCTTCCTCCCTCCTTCCTTCCCTCCCTCCCTTCTTTCCTTCCTTCCCTCCCTCCCTCCTTCCTTCTTTCCCTCCCTCCCTTCTTTCCTTCCTTCCCTCCCTCCCTCCCTCCCTCCCTCCTTCCTTCCTTCCTTCCCTCCCTTTCTTCTTTTTTCCCTCCCTCCCTCCCTTCCTTCCTTCCTATAGGTTTTGGGGAACAGGTGCTGTTTGGTTACATAAGTAAGTTCTTTAGTGGTGATTTCTGAGATTTTGGTGCATCCATCACCTGAGCAGTACACACTGAACTCAATCTGTAGTCTTTTATCCCTCACTCCCCTCCCACCATTTCCCTGGAGTTCCCAATGTCCACTGTATCATTCTTATGCCTTTGCAGCCTCATATCTTAGCTCCAACATATGAGTGAGAACATACAATGTTTGGTTTTCCATTCCTGAGTTACTTCACTTAGAATAATAATCTCCAGTTCTATCCAGGTTGGGGTATGCATTGTCTTTCACTAGCAGAATTTAACCACAGATTCTCTTTCATCTTGGAATTCTGTGGGAAGCCTCTTGATTCTATTTGCCTTTCTTGAAGAGTCAGAAGCCAGGCAGGTACTTTCATGAGAGGTCAACTCATGTCATGTTCCCCAGTGGGACCTCCACATGCCTTTTCTGACCTCAGCTTTATAGAGATAGGCTTACTGCTGTTTGGGGCCCTGGTGAGGGGTCTGGAGCCCAGACATTTCCATTATGAAGCAGCCTTCTCGGCCGTCTGTGCCTGGAACACTCGCCTCCAGAATCTAGCACCTCCAAACTCCATCTTTCTTCAGGCGCCCTGGCTCCTGCCTCCCTGGTCACCCCAGCCCAGCCTCGTCTCTTCAGAGAGCTTATGCAATCTCCATTTCCTTTCTGTGAGCCTTGCCACCCTGCTGCCTCCTCCACCAGACTGTAGCCTCTCAAGGGCAGGACACAGTCATTAGATGACTATACCCCAGAGAAGTGCTAGTAACCAAGCTGGGGATGAGGGGGAGGCAGCTGCCAGTCATTGCCCATGATCACCTTTGAGCGGAATCCCTGACCCTGAGGGCAGGGAATGGGTTTAGTCACCTGTTCAGTACCCAGCCTCGTGCCTGGTCAGTACTAACCTCGAAAAAGGTTAAAGCAGGGCTTCCTCTTTTTTTCCTAGCACCTAGAAGACAAATGGAATTAGTCCCTGCCTCCAGTCCCTCCATTAAATCTCCCAATGGAGCCACTGATGGCATTCTAGTGGCAACACAGGGCCCTCAAGACCACAAGCAAGCAGACACACCGCCCAGAAGGATTTCTGTGGGGCTTTGCTGGTCCTGCCCGAGTGTTTATCCAGCAGGCTACTCTTCCTGAGGAGCCAGGTGAGCTCACGGGACCCACTGCAGAGCCTCACTCAGAGTGGGCACCTCAGATCTGCTGATTCAGCTGGAATGGAAGCATCCTGCAGGTGTGTACCAGGGAAAGAGCAGGACAGGCCCCTGGGAACTTGCTAGGTGGCACAGAGAGGTCAGGCTGGACTTTAAAATTTTCCACAAAAACTCACAAACAGAGTGAGCTACATTTGGATAACATAATTGTTTTCAACTGGGGATAATTTGGGCCCCCCAAGGATATTTGGCAATGTCCAGAGGTATTTTTAGTTGTCATAACTTGGCGGGTGGAGCTACTGACTTCTAGTAAGCAGAGGCCAAGGATGCTTCCAAATATCCTACCCTTGGCCAGGTGCGGTGGCTGATATCGGTAATCCCAACACTTTAGGAGGCCGAGGTGATAGGATCCCTTGAGCCCAGGAGTTTAAGGCCAGCCTAGGCAACGTAGTCAGACCCTGTCTCTATAAAAGTATGGAAAAAAAATTAGCCAGGCATGGTGGTGCATGCCTGTAGTCCCAGGTACTCAGGAGGATGAGGTGGGAGGATCACTGGAGCCCAGGAAGTCGAGATTCCAGTAAGCTGTGATTGTGCCAACTGCACTCCAGGCTGAGTGACAGAGTGAGACCCTGTCTATAAATTAATACATTAAAAGTAATAAATATTCTACAATGGACAGAACAGCACCACAACACAGAATTATCTGGCCCCGGATGTCAAGAGTGCTCAAATGCTGGGAATCCCTGGGATCATGGAGGGCTGACTGGAAGAGGAGGAGGAAGAAGGATTTAGTGACCTACAGAATTTGGGCTGGAGGTGCAGCTTGTCACATGCCACTAACCTTCCTGACTCTCCAACGGCTCCTCCAGCATTGGGATTAAAATCCAGCCTCTCTGAAGGCTTCTGCCTGCCTCCCTCTGGGTCTTTCACTGCCTTGCTGTGGCCCTGCAGACACACTGGCCTTCTTGTGGTTCTTCTGACATGCCATCCTCTTACCAGCCCAGGACTTGCTCTTGCCCTGGTCCCTCTGCCCATGATACTCCCCTCTTCTCCTGCCCAGCAGCTCCCTTGCAGCCTTCAGGTGGAGGCCTTCCCTGGGCACCCCTTTGAAGCTGGCACTGCCCTACGTGTGTCCACCCATGGACTCTGAGATCCAGGAGGGTGAGGACCAGGTCTGCTTTACTTCTCACTGGATTCCATACCTAGCACAGTAAAACCAATGAAAGAAAGAACCATTTGTGAGTATGTAGAAGAGAAAGCAGAGACTATTAAGAGCTGTTTTAATAATTCAGGAAGAAGGGCTGGATGCGGTGGCTCACACCTGTAATCTCAGCACTTTGGGAAGCCGAGGCAGGTGGACTGCTTGAGCTCAGGAGGCCAAGACCAGCCTGGCAACAGGGCAAGACCCTATCTCCATAAAACATACAAAATATAGTTGGGTGTGGTAGCATGTGCCTTTAGTTTCAGCTGTTTGGGAGGCTGAGGTGGGAGGATGGCTTGAGCCCAAGAGGTAGAGGTTACAGTGAGCTGAGATTGTGCCAATGTACTCCAGCCTGGGTGACAGAGCTAGATCCTGTCTAAAAAACAAAACAAAAACCGAACAAAAAAACCCCCAAATGAATAAAGCATTCAGGAAGAAAAAGGGGTCATATTTTAAACACAATTCGTTTATCTAATCAACTGATATCTGTTGCATACCCTTTAGGTGCTTATATTTTACTTATTTTATTTTTGGAGATGAAGTTTCACTCTTGTCGCCCAGGCTGGAGTGCAGTGGTGCGATCTCGGCTCACTGCAACCTCTCCCTCCCAGGTTCAAGTGATTCTCCTGCCTCAGCCTCCTGAGTTGCTGGGATTACAGGTGCCTGTCATCATGCCCAGCTAATGTTTGGTATTTTTAGTAGAGACAGGGTTTCACCATATTGCTCAGGCTGGTCTTGAACTCCTGACCTCAGGTGATCCACTGCGTGGGCCTCCCAAAGTGCTGGGATTACAGGTGTGAGCCACTGTACCTGGCCGCTTATATTTTATTAAAAGGATTGTTGGAGGAGTAGATCAAGGAAAGGCAGGGCATTTCAGCAAGGCATTCTACAAAATTCACACAAAAACCTGTCCATGAATGTTCACAGCAGCATTATTCATAATAGCCATAAAGTAGAAACAGTCCAAATGTCTATCAGTGGACGAATAAACAAATCCGGTACATCCATACACTGGAATCTTATTTGGCCATAAAAGGAATGAAATATTGATACAGGCTGCAATGTGGATGAACCTTAAAACCACTATGCCAAGTGAAAGAAGACAGTCCCCAGAGGGTAAATATGATTCCGCTTATATGAGATGTCCAGATTAGAGCCATCTATAGATAAAGCAGATTAGCGCTTGCTTCGGGCTGCAGCTGGGGTTGACTTAGAGGTAAACTGGGCACGACTGTTAATGGGTATGATGTTTCCTTTCGGGATGATGAAAATGTTCTGAAATTGGTATGGCAAGAATGGACAACCCTGGGAATATACTAAAAGACACTGAATCATACAATGTAGATGGGCAAAAGCTGTGTGAATTATATCTCAATAAAGCTGTTTTTATCTGTGTTTATATGTGTTTGTGAATTATCTATCATTAAAGCTGTTACATACGCAGAGATGCAAAGTATATAAAACACACACACAATCCTTGGCTGGCTTTATTGGTTTTTGTGGAAAACATGAGTGGCAGAGGATAAGCCAGAGAATTTGCCAGGGACCTCAGCTGCATTCGGTCTTGCCTCCTTGGTCTCACTGCTCAGAATCTGTGACCTCTGTCCAATCTCTGCTTTCTTCTCTTCCAATCAGTCAAAGCTGAGCTGGAGGCAATACTCTTCTCCTGGATGGCTATGAGTGCCATGTAGGTAAATAACTGGCATGGATTTCAAGAAAGTCTCACTTCACATAGCAGATGTGTCCATTGGGCTCACGTTGGATTCAGGAAAATCTCAATCTGTTTAAAGGAAGCTACAGGAAGCCAACTGGCAAGATGGGTGCTGCAATGTGAGCAGTCATCCCTTAGCCATCCAGCAGGTATGAAATTGTGTTGATCTGGTTTGCTTAAATTGGGAGCCACATCTGAGAAGAAAATCCACTGTTCAGAAAGGAGGCACCGTTGTAAAGAATATCATGTGGGCAAAGTTTCGGTGTTTTTTAGGAAGCAGGTTGGTGCTCTGGCCAAATAAGGGCTAAGCAGAAAAGACATTTTGTTTCAACTCCTGTTGCTGGAAATCTCTCCAAAGAGTTCCCATTCAATCTCCTGCCTTGGTACATAGCAGCCAGGTAACAGAATTTAATGTTTGATGGTTGAGTGACTTCCTTAGCTTTCAGTCTTTCTGAATTTTAGTTCACTACAGTGAGAGGCTATAGGCAGAAGTGTGGAAAGCTGCAGTTACATTTGGCAGCTTGCTCTGCAGAAGGTTCAGAAGAGAAACTATTTTAAAGTTAAAAACCAAAGAGCAACAAAACTCCTAACAAGACTTATTTTTGTTTTGCTGTTCTTTGGTTTACTCCAGAAGGCCAAATCCAGTCTCTACCATCGCCTCAGGAGAGTTGCTTTTTTGGGGCCTTTCTGGGGGACTAGCTGATTTTTATGTCTTTACCTGGCTCTCACATTGTGTGTCTGAGAACCATGGTCCTCTGGTCCCTTGATATTTTGCTCTTTGCTGCATAGCATGATCCTATCAGAACTCCCTGTGAAAGCAGCAGATCAGTGCCACTGAGACAACAGCATGCTCCAGAGAGCTAGGCATGCCGAGTGTCAGTACCTGGTGCCACTCGAAAAGATGGCAGGCTTTATACTGGATTCTCTTCCCAAAGGTGTGAAGTAAACAGCACTGGCCTCCCTTGAGAAGGCGGAGGATGCAGGTCATTCTGGGGTGATGGCTGGCTTGATCTCACAGAGCTTCACATCTGGAATTTGGAGTCTTGGTCTCCAGGCAGGCGGCAAGGGAAGATGCCAGGACAGGAGTCCTGCCTGGCTGCATAAGCAATCCAACAGCTGGCTTTATGCCATCCCAGTGCCTCACACACAGGCACTGCACATTCATTTCTCTATGTGTTCTTAAAGATTTCAGGGAAGTCTCACTTGTTACAGCAGACGTGTCCATTGGGCCACCGTTGGATGAAGGAAAGTTTCTTTCTGCTTAAAGTGCACAGCTTAAAGGGAACTGCAGGTTCTTCCCCATGGCCATGTGTGGGATGCAGGCCCTGTTCGATGTCATTGGACAGTGAGTGAGGAAGCCAAGTCTCACTGGGCTGGACAACTTGCTTGAGGTGGCACAGGTAACACTTGGGAGGCAGGGCTGGAACCCAGGTGCCAGCCAACTGGCCTTTCTTCCACATTGCTTTAAGTTCTAACAATGCTTCTGTGCCTTTAGAAGAAAGTTTCCAGGCGGGGAAATCCAAGGCACAGGCAGTAATGTTTGCTCTAGCAACAGGACACCCTTCTGTCTCTACTCCAACTTCCCTTCTTTCCTTAGTATCCTCCATCTGCACAACACAACCTGGCTCTCTCTGGTTCAGCAGGTCTCTGTGGTGTCATCTGGTCTGTTCTCAGACAGGAGGGACCACAAGGGTCTGTTCTCAGACCTGACCCACTTCCTGCTGCTCAGGAGTGGGAGCATGGATAGTGATTAGACAGACCCCTAAAGGGGGTCGTCCAGGAGAAGTGAGAAAATCTAACCACTGTTAGTCTATGGCTGGGCTCCAGCTTCGTGCCACCCTATGCCCAGCTCCATGTCACCCTACACCCAGCTGTGCTGCCAGTTCTCCTGTAGCTCTGGGAGGGAGGAAACTTCTCCATTTAGGGCTGGAAGAGCTGTGAGTAAATTCCAGGACTGTTAAAAATAATCTGGTCTATATAAGTTTTCCATTTAAATATAATCTCCATGAAGGCAAGGAACTTGTCTAGAGTCTTGTACTTCAGCTTTGTTTCTCCAATACCTAGACTATAGCTGGCACTCACATATTTGTTAATTGGATAAACATCTTTATTTGAAAACAGCTTCATTGAGGTATAACTGAAATACAACAACTGCACATATTTAGTGTGCTATTTTGGTAAGTTTTCACACACACACACACACCTGTGAAACCATCACCAATAAAAATAATGAACATATTAGGCCATAAGGCCTATGCTGGGAAGCTGAGGCAGGTGGTTCACTTGAGGTCAGGAGTTTGAGACCAGCCTGGTCAACATGGTGAGACCCGTTTCTACTAAAAAAATACAAAAATTAGCTGGGCGTAGTGGTGCTTGCCTGTAATCCCAGCTACTTGGGAGGCTGAGGCAGGAGAGTCGCTTGAACCCAGGAGGTGGAGGAGGTTGCAGTGAGCTAAGATCGCGCCACTGCGCTCCAGCCTAGGCAATAGAGCAAGATTATGTCTCAAAAGAAAAAAAAATGAACATATTCATCATCCTCAAAACATTCCTCATTCCTCTTAGTAATCCCTTGCTATCCCTAGGCGACCACTCATTTGTTTTCCATAACTGTAGATTAGTTTGCATTTTCTAGAATTTTACATAAATGGAACCACACAGAATTGACTTCATTTATTTCCATCATCTCTCACTCAGCACAACTATCTTGAGATGCATCTCTACTGTTCTGAATGGTTTATTCCCGTTATTGCCGAGTGGTGACTCCATTGTATGGATAGACCAGTGTTTTCACTTGAATGTTGATGGACATTTGGGTAGCTTCTATGTTTTGGTTATGGAAAAGCTGTGATGAACATTTGTATACAAGTCTTTCTATGAACATATGCTTTCATTTCTTTTGGGTAAATACATAGAAGTGAAATGTCTGGATCATATGACAGATGTGTTACTTTTAAAGAAACTGCCAAATCATTTCCCAAAATGGTTATAACATTGATTTTCAAATATTAAATGAAATTTGAATTTCTGGGATAAAACACTCTTGGTCAATATGTATTATCCTTTTTACATATTGTTGGCTTCAATTTGCTAAAATTAATCTGTTGCTTGCTTTTCTTATACAGGTTTTTGTCATGTTTTGCTGTCACGATAAGGCTAGAATGAGCTGGGAAATATTCTCTTTTCTTCAATTTTTGGGAGAGTTTTTAGAATTGATATTACTTCTTTCCTAAATAGTTGGTAGAATTCACCCATGAAGCCATTTGGGCCTGGAGGGTATTTTTTTCTTTCTGGGAAGATTTTAAACTACATGTACAATGTTTTTCATAGATATAAGGATATTCAAATGATCTCTTACAATTTTTTAAAAATATAATTCACATGTCATAAAATTCACTATTTTAAAGTGTACCATTTAGTGGGTTTCGGTATATTCATAAGGTGATGCAATCATCACTACTATCTAATTCCAGAATGTTTTCATTGCCCTAACAAAAACCCCCATATGCCTTAGCAGTCATGCCCCATTTTCTCCCATTCCTCCGCCCTGGGCACCGCTAATCTATTTCCTATCTCTACGTGTTTGCCCATTCTGTACATTTCATATAAATGGAATCCTATAATATGTGGCCTTTGTATGACTGCTTCTTTCACTTAGGATAATGGTTTCCAGGTTCACCCATTATAGCATGTATCAGCCTTTTATTCCTTTCTAAGGCCTGAATAGTCAAAACAATCTTGAAAAAGAACAAAGTTGGAGGATTCACACTTCCTGATTTCAAAACTGACTACAAACTACAGTAGTCAAGATAGTGTAGTACTGAAATAAGAGGGATATATAGAGCAACAAAAAAAATGGAGGCTAGAAATAACCCTTACATTTTTAGTTAAGTGATATTTGCAAAGGTTCCAAGACAATTCAATGGGAAAAAAATAGTGTTTTAAAGAGATGGTGCTGGGATCATTATCCACATGCAAAAGAATGAAGCTGGACCCCACAATCATACCATGTATAAAAATCAACTAAAAATGGATCAAAAACCTAAATGGAAGAGCTAAAACTAAAAAATTGGAAGAGATCACAGGCATAAATCTTCACGACCTTGGATTAGGCAGAGGTTTCCCAGATATGACACCATAAACAAATTAACAAAAGAAAAAGGAGATAAACTAGATATAAACAAAATGAAAAACTTTTGTGCTTCAAAGGACATCAGGAAGGTAAGGCAACCCCAAAGAACTTGAGTTGAAAATTTGAGTTGAAAATTTTTTTTGCAAGTTATCCATTTGATAAGGGACTTATGTTTGGAATATTTAAAAAACTTTTATAATTCAATAATTTAAAAAACCTAATTAAAATGAGCAAAGGATCTAAATAGACAGTTCTCCAAAGAGCTCAGGCTGGGCATGGTGGCTCATGCCTGTAATCCCAGCACTTTGGGAGGCCAAGGCGGGCAGATCACCTGAGGTCAGGAGTTCAAGACCAGCCTGACCAACATGGTGAAACTCCGTCTCTACCAAAAATACAAAAATTAGCTGGGTGTGGTGGCAGGCGCCTGTAATCCCAGCTACTCAGTAGGCTGAGGCAGGAGAATTGCTTGAACCTGGGAGGCAGAGGTTGCAGTGAGCCGAGATCATGCCACTGCACTGCAGCCTGGTTGACAAGAGTGAAAGTCCATCAGGAAAAAAAAAAAAAAAAGAGAGAAAGCAAGTTTAAAAGCAAATATAAAAGTACTGTTCTACTGAAAGGAATACTCTGGATGTTGGCCTTTTCCTAATCCACTGCGTGTGGGGCAAGGAGTTCTGGGTCCCTCAGCAGGAATCCAT